AACGTAGACTTGCCGCAAGAATATCCATGAATGGCGTTCCTGGCGTGATGGCGTTAGAATCCCAAGTTTTTGTGACCATCGCCTCAGACGTGGATTCTTCGACTTGGCCTCCTGCTTGGGACCTCAGCATTTTCAGTAGTTCCGCCTTGTCCTCATCCTTCTCTTTGGCTTCTTGTGCGGATCGGAAACGTCTCGAACGTTGTTGGTTCATCTTTGCTCGTGGGGCAACGCCATCTACGGCCTGTTAGCAACCTATGGAGTTGTTGTGGCAAGCAACATACCAACGGCTATCATTAGTAGCTTTCGAGGTCGAACCATGTTGAACACTCGTTCGGTGTACTTGAAAATCTCAAGCATCATCTCCTCCTCGTTGGCTGGAGGAGGCCGATCCTCAGGATGCGAGCATGGATGAACGATTCCATTCATGTCAAGATAGAGGTTGTCGAACTCTTCTCCATTTGGATTCGGCTGAGTAGCATCAACTGGTATCGCGACGTTGTCGACATCTTTTCGGTGATCCTCAATGACAGGAGATAGAATCTTGGGATATTTTGTGGAAAGCCACTTGAAAGCTGCTGGGATACCCATTTCCCCGAAAGTTCACGGCTGCTGATGAAGTGGCAGAACTAGAGTTCTGTTGCGACTCCGAAGTCCTTGATATTTTTATCCGTCAACGAGTCGCGTCAAACAATGCGACAAGTCTGGGCCGCTTCTCGATAAGAAACGATATCAACACGTGACCGATATTGAGTGCCTCATGAATAACGATTTGCAAACTACAAACCACAGGCGGGAGATATATGAGTTTATTGCTTAGTAAATATTAGACTATTATTATTTGGCACATGCTATAAGCGTACATAAGTTAATACTGATGTTTGCTTATTGCAGCATCTACCATTTTGGAACCTTACTCTATACAGCCACACTACCAAGGTACGCGAATGCAGGACAGGCACCGCCAATTTTGGGTGTGTGGCTACAGCTCATTACGACAGCTCATTAAGTTTGGATTCCTACCGTAACGTACCGCCAACAAAAATCACATTGGATTAACCTGTTAGTCTCTGGAGGTCTTTTTGTATGGAGTCTAAGTTTCATTCCAATTCGTTTCTCGAATGTAGGCAACAAGAGACTAACAGATCTACAGTTTCTATTGTAGTTTTCAGGTCATTCGACAGCTATCTTCGTGGCCACCCTGGTGTCTTTACACCGCCTACGAGTCGCTATTACTGATCTTGCCTGCATCGAGATGCCATACGAAATATAACATTGAACTGAACCCAATGGCCCTTTCGAAGAAGTTATAAAGAAGAAATGTTCGGAATCGCGCAAGGCCCCACGAAACAGACAGCCACTGATGCTATCAATGTCTTCAGCGGCCGACTTCAGAGTGCGACGCTTCTTGAAGATAGGCGCAATGCTATACTTGGCTTGAGGAGCTTTGCACGTCAATTTCCTGCGTCGGTTGCCTCAGGGGCGCTCCGAGGCCTCATTGGAAGCTTGGGCAAAGATGTTGACGATGTGGACACCGTAAAGGTTGTGCTTGAAACACTTATAATGCTTTTCAACCCCGATGAAAGCAGTCCAGAGGCCTCGGAAGAAATCTCGTTGTGGCTGGCAGACGAGTTTACTCAACGTCAAGATAACATTACCATATTGCTAGATCTGCTGGAAACCAGTGATTTCTACTCCAGACTGTATTCCCTGCAGCTGCTTGGAGAAATCCTGTCGGCCAGGTCAGAGCGTACGGAGGAATGTATATTTACGGCTCCCCTTGGAATTTCGCGATTAGTGGCTATACTAGACGACAGGCGTGAGGTAATCAGAAATGAAGGCTTGACCCTACTCACATACCTTACTCCTCATTCAACAGAACTGCAAAAGTTGGTCGCTTTTGAAAATGCTTTTGACAGGATTTTCACCATTATAAAGCTGGGAGGCGCATTATCCCGTGGAGACAGGGTCGTTGAAGACTGCTTGATCCTTCTCGCCAATCTACTTCGTATGAACCTTTCGAACCAGTCTTTTTTCCGAGAAACTGGATGTACCCCTAAACTAGGGCAGCTTCTCAGTGATGCTTTGCATACCGAGGAGCAGGAGGAGGCAGTGGCCGAATGGGCTCAAGCGCAACGCAATCGCAACATCTACGCTTTACTTGCCGTTCTTAGATTGTTCCTTGTGAGAGGGGCTACGGGTACTCCAGCTAACCAAGCCTCCTTCTGGCAGCATGGTGTTCTTAAAAGCGTTTTGCAATTAGCATTCGATCGCTCAACCGAAATGCGGATAAAGTCCGAGGTTGGTTGTTCCGGATCCTATCCAAGTGTGACGACGAACTAATTCTCTACTAGGCCCTCATAACTTGTGGCGATATCATTCGCGGAAACTCTAATCTCCAAGAAGCCTTTGCTCAATTACAGGTGTCAGCGGTGGTTGATGCCCCAGTCTCTAATGGCGATGCAAACCCCAAACAAGATCGCGGCCCGAAGGTCTATGTGATAGATGGACTGCTCGACCTTACGCTCAGTATTCCATCCCTGCAAGCCTTTGATGCCAGGCTAGCAGCTTGTGAGTGTATCAAAGCGTATATCTATAACCACCCCGCTATAAGACAACACTTCTTCCGCCGGGCTATTGAGGGGCACTCGTCAGGGGCGGACGAAACAGCAAACGTCCTGACCACATTGCTCAGGCCAACTAGCCGAGATACACCTATCGATCCCTATAGATACTGGTTTGCTGCGGTCATCGTGTACCACCTCATTCGCGAAGATGGTGATGCAAAGGCCATAGCTATGGGCATTGCTGAGGGGGACACCTCTTCTGGCGAGGAAGAAATTACATGCATACAGACTATTACTGCAAATCTAATAAACGGTTTACAAAAAGGCGATGACGAACGAGTTCTTGTGGGCTATCTAATGCTTCTCTGCGGCTGGCTATTCGAAGACCCTGATGCCGTGAACGACTTTCTTGGGGAGGGAAGCAACGTGCAGAGTCTGGTTCGTGTTCTTGGGCGAGGGGAAAGGAATATGGTGATTGTCCAAGGCCTGTGCGCGTTGCTCCTCGGCATAGTGTATGAATTTTCGACAAAAGACTCGCCATTGTCTCGCCCTACATTACACAAGCTTTTGGTATCCCAGCTTGGAAGGGACCAGTATATTGATCGCCTGCACAAGCTCCGGAGACACCCATTGCTCCATGATTTTGAAGTTCTACCACAAAAACTTGGATCAACAAGCGCAGGCACACTGCCTGATGTGTACTTCGACAGCGTTTTTGTAGACTTTGTGAAAGACAACTTCAGCAGAATACAGCGAGCTATAGATCGTGATCCTGGGCTAGAGATACCGGTCATCTCAAATGGCATACAAAAAGGGATCTCCAGAGAAATGGTGGACTCACTTCGTTCACAGCTGGAAAAAAAGGAGCAGACTCTTCAGAAAGTGCAGTCGACTTTACTGTCAATAGAAAGGCAGTTGGATCAAGAATGGGCGGACAACAGAAAAGCAAAAGAAACAGCGACACAGGACACCGCAAAGTTACAAAACATGAATGAGACGCTGCAGTATCATCATAATCAAGGGATAAAGTATGGCACTGCTTCTCCATGTTTAGTACATTTACTAATTGAACCAGTAAACTAAGGACTGAACTACAACATATCGAGGAAACTTCTGTGAAGAAGTTGCATCTAGCACAACGTGCTGCTGAAGACAGTTCGGAGCGGGTGAAAAAAAGGACAGATGCCGAGATTGCAGATCTGAAGCAAAGCATAACCTCCTTACAATCCAAATTAGAAAAGGTAAGCAGAATTAGCCTTTGAAGATTATCTGCTGACGCCCAATAGGCTAGCAAGGACCATCTTCAAGATCTCCAGACTGCACATGATGAGTATTCATCACAGCTTGAGGAACAGGTACTTCGTGTGCAACGAGCGGAAGATAAAACAAGGGATTTGGAAAGCAGCGAAAAAGCGGCCCATGAGCGGACCTTAAAGGTAAGCCAGACTGTGCAGTTCAAGAAGCTGATATGCTAACGGTTTGCCTAGGCTGAGTCATTGGCAGTCGAAAACGAACTGCAGAAAGCAGCGGTCCAGGCTGAGCTGGATGATCTGCTTATGGTATTCGGGGACACAGAAGATAAACTTTCGCGCTACAAGGTACTGTGGCCCCCTATTCACTCAGATTTATATTGAGACCAAAAGTTAACATCCATCCAGGAGCAACTTCGAGAGCTTGGCGAAGACGTTTCAGACGGGGAAAATGATGATGAGGGCGACGATGACAAGGATGAACAGCTTCAGCAACCTGAATAGACCGCCAATTAAGGCGGAGCTGATAGAGGTTGGTTGGGGAGCATTGTCCTTTGTCATATCCGATGTACATATAGTGCGATTCTGAAGAAAATCAGTTGGTGTGGTCGTGCAAGAACAAATAAGAGGTCTCAGATGAGTTGGTTGCACCATCATGATTTGAAACGGGTCAAAATATGTAAAGGGATGTGGCGAGGGGGATAGGACGATTTGAGGATTAGTCAGCCATCAGAACTTCGAAATTGTTGCTGTTCGCCATTTCGCCCTAAAGGCGGGGTGGGGTAGATAAGGAACCCCCACACGATAAACCCAAAGAACTGGCCACAAATTCAGCAGCGCAGGATCATGTCAAGTATAATAGTTGTATAGACGCTGGATGTAATTGAAATAGTAGTTAGCAGTGCTAGCCTAATGTTTCGTTAGCAGCTTAAATTATAAAAATGCGCCGCGTTGTGTTTGTTTTGGGGAGATGTTAGCCCAGTGAGTCAAATTACGAGTCGAAAAATCTGCCACCTAAAACTTGTACTCACGTTCACTCAATCACATAGGCCACTGACCTTGATTCTGCCCCTCAACTACTAAGTGGTGCGCAGCTACTTTCTGCACCATCAAGGCCGTTTTCTCTCCCGAACACAACTAGCACACATTACAGCTGAAGGTGTCCTTTCTATCAAAGGCGCTTAACATGTCTATCGACTTCCCGAAGGAGGAGGAGGCTGTGTTACAGCGCTGGAAAGAGATCCAGGCATTCGAAAGACAGGTGAGCAAACAGGAACGAACACTTGGTATGTAGGGCCATGTTGACAAATTAAAGGTTGAGCTGTCCAAGGGGCGCAAGCCGTACACTTTCTATGATGGGCCTCCCTTTGCGACGGGGTTGCCGCATTATGGACATCTATTGGCCTCAACGATCAAGGACATAATCCCCAGATATTGGTCCATGAAAGGTTACCATGTAGAGAGACGTTTTGGATGGGACACTCATGGCCTGCCAATTGAGCACGAAATCGACAAGAAGCTTGGAATATCCGGTAGAGAAGCAGTGATGAAGCTGGGACTGGACAAATACAATGCCGAATGCAGAGCTATCGTCATGAGGTATTCAGCGGAATGGCGCACAACAATTGACCGACTGGGGCGATGGATCGATTTTGATAATGATTATAAGGTACGGGATATATTTAATTATGCGTTGCTCGGGGACTGCGTTGCTTGGGGACTAACTGTGCTTCAGACAATGGACCCGACTTTCATGGAATCTGTCTGGTGGGTTTTCAAGCAAATATTTGATAAAGACGCCGTATATCAAGGATACCGCGTTATGCCCTATTCAACTGTCCTCACGACGGCACTCAGCAACTTTGAGGCGAATCAGAATTACCAAGACATTCAGGACCCCGCCGTTGTCGTCTCGTTCCCACTGCTCGACGACCCGGAGACCTCCCTGTTAGCTTGGACCACTACTCCATGGACTCTTCCATCACACACTGGACTCTGTGCCCACCCAGATTTTGAATATATCAAAATTTGGGACGAACTGTCTGGGAAGAATTACATACTACTGGAGAAGCTCCTGAGCACTCTTTACAGAGACCCAAAGAAAGCAAAATTCAAGATCATCGAAAAGGTCAAGGGTAGTGACATGCTGGGGTGGAAATACCAACCGCTGTTTGATTATTTCTACGAGGAATTTAAGGACTACGGATTCCGTGTCTTCAACGCGACATATGTTACTGATGATAGTGGTGTTGGCATTGTCCATCAAGCACCCGCTTTTGGTGAGGAGGATTACAACCTTGCTCTCGAATTTGGAGTTATTGACAAATTCCGTGGCCCACCAAATCCCATTGATGAAACTGGGCACTTCACATCAAGAGTTCGAGATTTTGAAGGGCAGCATGTAAAAGCTGCTGATAAAGCTATCATAAAGTACCTCAAAGGCACTGGACGCTTGATTGTCGAGTCTCAGATCAAGCATAGCTACCCTATGTGCCCACGATCTGATAGCCCTCTTATCTACCGCGCCGTGCCATCTTGGTTTGTCAAAATTCCCGAGATTGTGCCCCAGATGCTCGAAAACATCCAAGACTCTCACTGGGTGCCATCCTTCGTGAAAGAGAAGCGCTTTGCAAGTTGGATCGCAAATGCTCGAGACTGGAATGTTTCTAGGAACCGTTACTGGGGAACGCCAATCCCGCTTTGGGTCAGTGACGATCTGGAGGAACGAGTTTGTATTGGAAGCATTGCAGAGCTCAAAGAGCTTAGCGGATATGAAGGCGAGATAACCGATTTACACCGAGACAAAATTGACCACATTACCATTCCTAGTAAAATGGGCAAAGGAACTCTACACCGTATCGAGGAAGTTTTCGACTGTTGGTTTGAGTCTGGAAGCATGCCATATGCTAGCCAGCATTACCCCTTTGAAAACCAGGACAAATTCAAGGCATCATTTCCAGGAGATTTCATTGCGGAGGGGCTGGATCAGACCCGTGGATGGTTCTATACCCTTCTTGTGATTGGCACACACCTCTTTGGAAAATCGCCTTTCCAGAACTGCGTTGTGAATGGTATAGTTCTGGCGGAAGATGGGAAGAAGATGTCCAAGAGGCTCAAAAACTACCCTGACCCAACCATTGTTATGTCCAAATATGGTTCAGACGCACTGCGTTTATATCTGATCAACTCTCCAGTTGTACGAGCCGAGCCCCTCCGCTTCAAAGAGGCTGGTGTGAAGGAGGTGGTTGCAAGGGTTTTACTGCCCCTTTGGAATAGCTACAAGTTTTTTGAAGGGCAAGTTGCTTTGCTAAAGAAGGTAGAGGGCGTTGATTTCATCTTCGACCCAGCCTCTGAGTCGACGAACACGAATGTAATGGATCAGTGGATCTTAGCGAGCTGCCAAAGTTTACTTAAATTTGTCAACGAAGAAATGGCTGGTAGGTTAAATATCTCTTCATGGTGTACTTTACTAACAATTCAAAAGCTTATCGCCTGTACACGGTCGTTCCACGCCTTCTTGACCTAATTGACACCACGACAAATTGGTACATTCGATTCAACAGAAAGCGTCTAAAGGGCGAATTTGGGCTTGACGACACCATGCACGCCTTGAACTCGTTATTCGAAGTCCTCTTCACTCTCACTAAAGGCCTTGCCCCTTTCACACCCTTCATAACAGATAACATATACGGCCGCCTCCTTCCCCACATCCCCAAGGAGCTGCGTGGAGAGGACGACCGTAGCGTGCACTTCCTCCCCTTTCCAGACGTTCGAAACGAACTTTTCAATGAAGAAGTTGAGCGTCGCGTCGGACGCATGCAGCGAGTGATCGAACTGGCTCGTGTTTCACGGGAAAGGCGTGGCGTGGGCCTGAAAACGCCGCTAAAAACACTTGTTGTCATACATCCGGATCCAGTGTATCTGGAAGATATCCGCTCACTCGAAGGATACATCACTGAAGAACTCAATATCATCAGCCTTGTATTGTCATCAGACGAGGAGAAGTATAATGTGCAGTACAGTGTCTCGGCAGATTGGCCTGTTTTGGGCAAGAAGTTGAAAAAGGACGTGCAAAGGGTTAAAAAGGCACTTCCGGGCCTGACGAGTGCTGAGGTCCACCGGTTCGTCCTAACGAAGACGATTACGGTTGATGGAATCGTGCTAGGGGATGGAGATTTGCATGTCAGGCGTAGCCTGAAGGAAGATGACTCGTCGAAAAATCTGGAGACAAACACAGACGAGGACGTCCTGGTTATCCTGGATGCTGCATTGTACCCAGAACTTGCAGAAGAAGGATTATCACGAGAGATCATCAACCGAGTGCAGAGGTTGCGAAAGAAGGCGGGCCTCCAGCCTACAGATGATGTCAAAATGGAGTACAATGTCATCGCTGACCCAGATAATCTTGGACTCGCCAAAATATTCCGAACCCAGGCGAAATCGATCGAAAAGTCCCTTCGTAGGCCAGTCGACCAACACGTTGTGACGGAAGTCGACGGTGTGGCCACTTCTAACATGGAGCAGCTTATTATGGAAGAGAAGCAAGAGATCCAGAAGGCAACTTTCATGCTTAGGTTGGTAAAACTTTGAGATTTTCAACAATTGTTGGTACAGAAGGGATCGTATTCAGTATGGTAGAACTATGAAGAGACGCTCTCTTTAATAGGTAGCTTGCCTTCAATACACCGCCCTTGGGGTAGTATTGTTAAATTTCCATGGCTGCAATGCGAAATCACTCTTGCCTCGTAAATATTTTACGGCTTCCTTGAGGCTGCCTACTTGCCGTCAATACCCAATGCTAAAACTGACATACCAAGTGGAAATACTGACAATATAACAACTTTTTAAACGTAAAAATTCGGTCAAGCACTTGTCCTTATGAACATGATTATAATCCTCTACTATGCATTTTCCATAAACAGATGCCTGCAAATCATGTCGTTAACAGAGTATCACGTGCCGTGAAGGAGTGGACAAACTTGGCCTGAGCACTGAGCAATTGCTTTCGCGAAAGTCTCGATAGGTCTCGACCTGCCTGGCATTGCGGGATTGAGAGTAGATATATATTTTGTGCGCGTTCGGAAGTGTTGAACCCAAGAGGGGAATTTCAGAATTCTGTTGTAGTTGATTTGTGACGGGGTAGCTTTGTCGATTCTAACCACACACCCTATATCACGTGCACTTATTTGGCGCGCTTTCTGGTAATTGACTTGAAGCGCGGTCGCGTTCACCATCCCACGCCAAAACAATGAGTTCCGCGACGACATCTACAAAAAGCACCATTAGGCTCCGACTGGACAAGCAGAGGCTCTAATATCCTGCCATGCAATCCCCAAACTGCGTGAAGCGACTGACCTCTGTTGTGTTTAATTCATGCATTATGTGGCGTAATTGGAATCAGCTTCCGGAACTGTACTGATTTATTGTCGCTGGACGCTCTGGCTGATGTCATCCAAAACAAGCCACAGCAAACTTCCAAAGAAGCCAGAGCTGTACTATACGAACGAAGGTATTTACGCCGGGTTCTTTATCTTAAAAGGAGCTAATTCATTTTTGCGACTGTAGATGTTGCCATCCTGTATGACATCGTCTTACACGCCGAAGAGCTTCTTGGGAGCCTTCCAGAATCGGAAAGGATCCCGACGAACGCGCTATTCCAGGCATACTATGCGATACTCCCAACTATCGGCGTCAATGCCGATCATGACAATCGATATGCGCGTGTTATCTTCAAGGTTGGAGGAAGGCGTGGCGAGGGATCTCTGTATCATAAATTTGAACATGTGCTTTCGGAGATGGGCATCGAAATCCAGTTCGACCAAATCGAGGAGGAAGGTCGCCACACGCTCCATGGCCTTTCTGAAGACTCCACTTTTGACATGTTGCCAAAAATCGACTTCAACCTTGTTGACAGACCTGATGGCCGGCTCCCAAAGAGACGGAATTCCGAAACATCCATATGGACCGTTGGGAGCGGAAAGGACGATGTTGTCTTGCGGAGGCTACGATCCAATTCCCTCCAATCATTGCCCCACCCGGGATTCATTGACAACAACTCCCTCGAGAGCATTTGGCCGCCTACGACATTCCCGGCTACCACCCTGCCCGATCCCCATAAACCCTTCGGGCGAGATGATAACGCTCACAGAATTGGATCCTGGTTAACTACAGAAGTAAACACTAATGGCCTAACTATAGCTTCCCAACGCACCAATTCTGATCAGAGTTCGCAAGAAAGGATTATATCACATAGAAACACGGGGAATGAGGACGATACTGGTAGCATACCCTTCGATACGGATGAACAACAACCACTCCCGCCAATCGGCCACAATGTGGACCATCCGCAAGAAACGCATGCATTTCCTATTCCTGTGGCTGCTTCCAAAATCCACACCGGTGCAGTCATACAGAATAGAAGAGCGTTCTTTCTTCATAATCGGAACCGCTGTTTGCTTCTCGACAAACTGGCATGCTGGCGACAAAAGGCTACGCAAGTCCTTGCAGGAAATAGCAACCTTGAAGCCCTGGCTAGGAGCAGAGATAGATACGTTCTCCTGAAACAAGGACTTGAAACTTGGGTTACTGCTCTCCGTGAGGGACGTCGAGTCCTCGAGACTGAGCACTTCTTCTTTCACCTTGAACGCCGTGCCAAGCGGGCCCGAGATATCTTTTTGCTTGCAAAAAGCTTTACCCATTGGGCTACGACCGCATCCGACGAAATTCAGCGGACGTCAGTGGCCCGAAGGCACATCTTAAGAACCCGACTCTTTAAGGCTTGGCGGGAAATCACAGCAGTCAATGAACTTAAAGTTCGCCGCCACATCCAAAAGAAATTTTTCAATTCGTGGCGAAGACGCCAAGAGGTTATATCGTCCATTTCTGACTATTCCATTGCGGTGTTTCAAGGGAACGTTGCAAAACGTGTCTATTGGCTCTGGTTCTGGTCCTTCTGTGAGAAAAAAGCCCCTACGTTGTGGGCGGATAGGGCAAAAAGGAGGCGGATGGTTTCATGGACTACCAAATTAAAGACAATAAGAGAAATGAGCACAGTTGGCCAGTATTACCGCCAGGAGAAATCAAAGAGATTGGCATGGGGTATATGGGCCAAGAGGACGCGGGACTTCACCAACATGAATGATGCAAGCTTGCTAATGCAGAAAAGGTCTTCCTGCGTTAATGCTCTTAGATATTTGCGTAGCGCCAATACGCTACTTCCTTCTTCGAGACATGTAAAATCGAGGGTCAAATATGGGCTTTTTGTCAAATTCTTCAATATATGGCGTTTACGGACTGCGCAAGAAAGACAAGCCCGCGATCTTGACCGCCACAAGATAAAAAGGGAGGCCTGGACTGCCTGGAACGACAAAATAAGATGCCAGTGCTTGCAGCTACGCATTGGCGATAGGAACCTCCTCCAAGCCCTCTATAAATGGGTTCTGGCGGAACGCCTAATCCTTGCACGCCGCCTTTCAAACCAAAAAATGATCGGGGCCACTTTTGAGCGTATGCTACAGACCTCTAGGATATCGATTGGCACAGTGTCTGCTAGTATCCTTACCGCACTACAATTTCGGGAGCAGAATGACAAACGGTCTATTCTACGCAGATGGAGTTCGAATCTAAAGGTCCATAGGAGCCTTCAGCAACTCGCTATCCAGCGCAATACTTATCCGATTCAAACTGCCATGCTGAAGACATGGTCGCGGAACATGAACGAGCTGCGGCAGTTGCACGAATGGGCTATTGATGCTAACTTTTACTTTGCTGCAACTAAGGCTCTTAAAATTTGGCGGGATGCGACAGAGGCATCCCGAAGAGAGAAACGGCGAACTGCGTATGCAAGTGTGCGTCGCCAAAGCAAACTGAAGCTTGCTTCAAGGGTGCTTTATACCTGGAGGTGCCGGTCTAAGTCAGTGACCAATATGGAGAACCTTGCATCCGAATTCCATGACAGCAGGATAAATAACCATCTTGTCAATACATTGGCTCGCTGGCAAGCTCGGAAACTAGAGGTATCGCGGTTAGAGTCTATCCGGTTGCCAACCATTCTCAGGGTCAGATTTATTCAGTGGAAATCGTCCTCCAAAGAATATTACCATTTGGACGTTGTTGCTAGCGGATTCAACGAGGACCACCTATACATGGCTTCTATGAAGAAGTGGGGCCGTCTTGCCTTGCAGTTTAGGGCCCATCAACACCTCGTATCTGAGCTTCATGACAAGCACGTCAGAAGAGCAGTTCGCAAAATGGTCTTGCACTGGCGACAGCAACTGCTTGACTATGAAGGCTCGGGATCTGCTAGCGTACCTGGAACAAAGCCTGTAACAAGCCTTAAAAGATCCGAAGCCTATTCTGATACGGGAGAAGATGTTGGTCCTGGGTACGTAACTCAGAGGAGTGGAGGCTTTCTCAACTCAGCACCCGTACGAGGCTATCTCAAAACGCCCTCCAAGAGAACATTCATGAGTAGGACGGCAAACCAGCCATCCACCACGCCAATAGGGCCAATCTCGACCCCCTATGAAAGGCAATTCCGTGCGGAACTCTCTGGTCGTTTGTTCCAATCCTATTCTCGGATTTCAAACGACAATCCACCAAATATTAACGAAGGATTCGAAGATTTAACAGATAGGTAATAAATATGGCCGAGGAATGATACTTAATACATCAATCAGACTTTGATTAACAGGCGTGGACTTTAAACCTAAACCAGGAGCCCATTCATAAGTTACCATGTACTAAAGACATTGTCATGACCTTTTCAGAGATCATGATCGAAGCGAGCTGTTATGAATAAATCATTTATCAGAAACCCCTCGTGTCCTCAATGTCAGTCTAATATGCCAAACCGTGCTTTTAAAAATAGACAATCGGTCAACTGGCGCAGAAGCCTCCTGTATGTGTCACGTGATTATGAAGCTAACCTCGTCACTCATCGGATTGACACCCTTGTCTTATCTGTTGTTTTATGATCAGTCGCGATCGAGAAGTATAATGCTGGGCCCTTCTCAGGTTCTCCTTTTCCAGATACTGTAACAAACTGCGGTCGACATCAAGCATTACTTTCTACCACGGGAAACTTTTATTGTTTGTATTCTGCAGCAAATGAGACCCATTTGGCTACCGCATTTAGGAATCTGAGGTTGTGGGAGAGCATAGCATTGCCATGGTCGTGAATCTTTAGTATGAGAGCAGTTCTGCCAGGCAAGCCACAGGCCAGGCTGCAAGCTATTTGCACCGGGTATTGGGATGGTAGACAATTCGCTGTAAGTAGCACACTTGATTATGCTGAACCATGTCTGATAGTTTGGCTGTCACAGGCATATATTACTGGAAATGCATTCGTTGTCCTCGAACCTCCGACAACCCTTCTCCAAACGTTGTATGATGAAGACCCATCATTTCTAATAGCTATCGCCTTTGATGAAGCTACCGGCAAGATAGCAACATGTACCGAGCGTAGTGTTCGTATTTACCAGCCGTATGGCCAAAACGAAGAGGCCTTGAAAGTTTGTCGCGATTCTGCCCCCAGAAATAATTTCTCTGACTCTTTTTAGTGGTCACTTCAAATCTCCATTCCTGTCGACGATCTAGACCAACCGGTGACTACACTCTCTTGGGGTGGCATTGGCGAACTTCTTGTGGGGAGGTTGTCTCTCTCGTTATACTCGACCGAAAATGGCCTCGTGAAGCTTTGGTCCAAGGCAGTTGCGAACCCAACAAAATTTGCCTGTCTTTCTTACGACTCGGGGTACATTGCTTCAACGGGAGCTCACGATCGATTGGTGAAGCTTTGGAGAAGGTTGTCGTTTGGCTCCGATGATGTACGATTCGACTTGACATACCTTCCGCACCCTCAGATGTTGACCGACGTACGCTGGCGACGTCCCTACCATCTTGACCAGACTGTTGACAACATCTTATACACTGTGTCCGCCGACAAGGTCCTCCGCATATGGGCTGCCACAGACACCCATGGGCTACGGATATTTCAGTTATGGGGCCAAATAGACCTCGAGCAGTCTATCCAGCCTCGTTCACTGGAGTCCAGTAAAACCATGAAATCCCGCTATATCAGTTTTATCGATGGCCGGGATTTTAGGAAGTCAGTAGAATACTCTGTCCAGACAGCCAACAATCCGGGGCCCACCCCCAATCATGAAGTTGAACACCTGGTTGAGGTTGCCAATAGGTCTTCCGAGATCTGTATCATATTCGATGAACAGGGGAACATGTCAGCGTGGGGATTAGAGAATATAGGCGGCAAGGCTCGAAAGCCAACGGATATTTTCAACATTGCACACGTTGCGGGACTGGAACCGATGCTACCAACGCTTGAGTCTGGAGATTACTCCTATATCCAATTGTATACATACTGCAGTAGGACAGATGGCATGCTCAACACCATCTGGCATAACTTTGATGGAACTATCCAGCATTTTAACCGCAGCTTAGCCAACTTATTTGACAAACAACTGCGGCCTAGCAGCACAACTCCCAGAGCTATCTGGACGGGTCATTCACGGCCACTGAAAAAGATGGTTCGAAATATATGCGGCCGAGCTGTCGTTTCGCGAACTGATGGAAATGAAGCTATCGTCTGGAGACATGAAGACGACGAAAATGGGGTACCACTAACAGCCCAAAGTCTGATCGATGTATCAGAACACATACATCGGATCTGTGTGCTACGCCGAGGAGCATTTGTTATCCTTCTCCATCACTCGACGATTTCGCTCTGGGACTGTCGACAACATCGTGGCCAACGGTTGGCATCGTTACCATATGTTATTTCCGGAAGGCCGCTCTGTGTGCTAGTCTTGCCCGAAGCCGGGAGACGCGGTGACACTGCTCATATTGCCACTGTTAGCTCGGAGATGAAAGGTATCGTCTGGGAGCTACGCTTACTGCCCCGGACAAACCAGGGCCGCGAGACCAATGGTGATGGGTCGGCATTCATCAGAGAATTCTGTACGTTTGACTTGGGTGATGCTAATGATCTGGCTTATGTATTACCTGTCGATCCTGCAGGGTCGCCACCGGTCACATCGGGATTCCTGGACACGTTCGCGCGGGATGTGGCCGTATCTTATACTCACTCCGGGTTCATACGATCCTGGACGGCCAAAGTAAACCTCAAAGATCAGAGTGTAGACTGGCTTCTTACCTGCTCCGTAGAGACAGGGATTCATGAACCTTCCTTAGCTAGCGGAAGCTCGATCAGAAAGGCTGCGTTGGTAAATTCTGACCGATCGGAATTGACGATATGGGATGTACGAGGGGCTCAGCTTGAATATTCGCAGTCATTCGGATCCTCGGACGGCATTCAAGACCTCGACTGGACCTCAACTCCAGATGTTCAGTCCATTTTGGCTGTTGGCTTCCAGCATCGCGTTCTTCTGCTATCCCAATTGCGATATGATTACCTCAATGAAGGTCCAGCTTGGACTGCCATCCGGGAAATCAATATTCGAGATCTGACTCCTCATCCTATTGGAGACTCGACGTGGCTAGGCAGAGGCAGTTTACTCATTGGTGCTGGAAATCAGCTTTTTGTTTACGATAAAATGTTCAATGTTCCTGCTTCCATCGCTGCAAACCTTCAACTTCCTTTACGGAAGGAAGGCCAGTGGGATCTTTTCGACGCCGTGACGCGACTTAATGGGCCACTGCCGGTATTCCATCCACAGTTCCTTGGCCAGTGTATTCTCGCTGGCAAGTTGACTATGGTTCAGCGCATACTTCTTACGCTATACCAAACTCTAAAATCCCACTTAGAAGGGGAACACATTGATAATCTTTTAGGCCTTGACCTTGAAGACTTCTACACCCACCCCCAAAGAGTTTGCATATCCATCCCCAAGAGATACACGCGAGGCTGATCAATGTAGATTAAAACTTCGAAAAATGAGCCCGGATCAGCGTTTACGGATTTTTTTCAAACAGAAGACACGGAGACTTTGACGGAGAACATTGCCCTGGCGCTGAACGAAAAACTCACGACGGTGGCAATTCCCCAGTTGTCAGGGCAACTGCAGATGCAGCTTGCAGATACCGTCGAGTGTGTCGCTATAGTTGAGAAGCAGCGTCGTTCTATGGATGACAACGCCGCAAGGTTCATGCTTTTCTTCCGTCAGCACGCCCTTTATAAAGGTCGTGCGAATGAAGTACAACTGTCGTGGAGAGAAATTAACTGGGCTTTCCACAGCAACAGCCAGGACATATTGACTGATGTTGTTACCCGACAATTTCATGGCCGTGTGCTTTGGGAGCATGCGCGAGAGAGTGGCTTATTTATGTGGATTACTGATTCCACGGCGCTGGTACGCACCGTAGTCCCGTCCTATTTCTAGCCACGAGCTTACAGACACACAGAAGGAACAATTCGAGATGATCGCGCGCAATGAATACACAAAGTCGGATGAGAAAAACCCCATTGATTGCAGCTTATTCTATATCGCGCTGAAGAAAAAGGCTGTCCTTCAAGGCCTTTGGCGAATGGCTGGCTGGAATCGTGAACAGGCGGCCACCCTGAAACTTCTCTCAAATAACTTCCAGGAGGAAAAATGGAAAACAGTTGCGTTGAAGAACGCTTATGCCTTGCTTGGGAAGCATCGTTGTAGTGAGTGTTGGCGAACCAGTCTCATGGATGGATACTAATCAACACAGTGTATGCTGCGGCATTCTTTTTATTGGCAGACTGCCTCAAGGACGCGGTAAATGTATGCCTCAACCAACTGAAAGACATTCAATTAGCAGTCGCCATCACCCGGGTTTTTGAAGGCGACAATGGTCCTGTATTAAGGGAGCTCTTGGAAGAAAAGGTTCTTCCTTTGGCAGCCCAAGAAGGTAACCGTTGGCTGGCATCGTGGGCATTCTGGATGCTCCGTAGGAGAGACATGGCAGTGCGAGCACTTGTGGTAAGTAATTATTTCTTCACCCAAGGTGGAAACTGTTTCACAATTCTAATTCGCAAAAGGCTCCTGTATACACATTAATCGAGACACCCCAATCCCTAGACATGCAGTCGAAATTATATCTTACAGACGACCCTGCGTTGATTATCCTCTATTCGCAGCTTCGCCAAATGACGTTGCAGACACTACGAGGCGCTTCACGAGTCACCCCGAAGGTTGAATGGGCATTCGTTCTGCACAGCGCTAGGCTTTACGACCGCATGGGTTGCGATATCCTTGCTCTTGACCTTGGTTAGTCATCGAATCAAAATGCCTTACTACGTGACTAGATATGCTGACAATACAGTCCGCAATTGGGAGTTCCTTCTATCAGACTTCCCCCTTCATTCCTTCAGTGACGACATTAATCCGCGAACTGCACAATTTCGGCGTAGAGATTCTCTAATTATTGCAGATCTTCCGCCATCTAATAATTTAATAGCAAAGGGCTCGTCCAGTGCGTTCGTAGAGCCCGAAGCAAATTCACTGCTTGACAGTTTTGGATTTTAAATCTGGGGGGCTAAAACCGGCCCAGACCCGCCCAGGACATCATACTCTTCGATGAGATAAAAATATCTTGCCTCGCATTCTACTTATCGAAGTACAATGGCATCACTTAGATAAATGCACGCCGAATATGTAATCATTTACTCCTATATGAAGCTCTTGAGACCCCTTTCTGAGAAACAAAGTCCACCTACCCCGTCAAAGGCAAAGAACACCGGCGTACGCGCACTCTACGGAGTTGTACCCTCGATCGCTATGAAGCCGGAGCGCTTCCGAGAACCCGGCTGTTGAAAGACAGTCGCCGTATGGAATGAGCTTGACTGTGGTGATCTCACAACGAAAAAAATGCCGTCTTGTCTGTCTATTATTAAGTATCTCTAATGTATGGAGTAAATTATATTCGAATACATCATTATAGGTGAGGCACACCCATAGTCGACATGGCTAAGTTTAAGATGCTCACAACACCCTCTCCAAGCACAAACCCGCTCGCTACGACGACAAGGGGGGTCTCTGGGTTCCCCAGGTACGACTTCCAGTACCAACTCATGAAACCACCGATTGCCCTCGCAAGGGTGAATGATGGGACATTGAACATTCCTGCATTGAGAAGTTAACATAGCACTCAATCATGATGAGTGTATAGTACTTACCAACAGCAACAGCAATTCCGCCTGGTATGAGTGGGTGCCATTTCTTACCAGTGCCAACAATTCTGGCACATGTAGTTGCTGCGAATATTAGTCCCATTCCAATCGCCCATTGCCATGCCATCGGTGGCAGTCCATCTCCAGTCACTAGTCTTGCCGTGAAAATCCAAACGTATCCAGTGGGAACCTGAAAAAGATCTCCTGGGACGGGATATACATTCGTGTATAGCTTGTAAATAAGTGCGCTTACAACCGCACCAACTGCACTGCCGATGATTTGGCCCCAGAATTGTGCGTTTGGCGCCGCACCTAAGAGGTGTCCTGTCTTCAGATCTTGCATAAGATCTCCAGCCTGAAGTGCACCAGCCTCAGAGACCGCACCAGCAATGAGGTTAATCAGCACGGACTTCTTGTTTGACTGTGGAATTATCAGAGCAAAGAAGAGCTGAGCCAATTTGCTGATGCCGGATACTGGATTAAGATCAGTTTCGCCCAAGGCTCGGACCCCCATAACCGACAGCACCAATGCTATCAGAACGGCTGCCACGGTTGCGTAGAGGGGGACGAGCGCTCCGAAAGTGATCCGAATGCATAAGATGCAGAAAAGGATCGAGGATATTAATCCTATCCACACAACGCGACCGCTAACCAGGTGTTCCGGAGGCGCATCAATGTCGGTAAGACTTTTCAAATCTGCAGGCTGTGGTGGTGACTGCAGCGGCTCTCCAGAATTGGACAAATTGTCCGTTAACACGGTGGAATCTTGCACGCCGTCAATTGGCACATACCCGGCGCTCAATGACCCAAAGTTGACAATGTTTCTCCAGCCCCTGCCAGCTCTTGCTCTGTAAACAGGCTCTAGCACAATCCATACATACGGCGCCACCTGTTTACCGGCAATATAAGCCAGGCTAACGATGGAATCCGCCAGCATAATCGCCAGTGAGACCCAGATGATCCATCCCTTACTCCCCGCTTCCCAGTCATCTATTGGTCCCGGAGCCCAACCTTTGTGTTTTGCGAGTGGGGATAGAACGGCCCATCCCAGTATGGCACCTATAAGCATGTGTATAGTAGTAGCTGATCCCATGATAATGCCTTGACCGACGTAAGCCAGGGAAGGATTCAGTGTCCACAACCAGTTTTGAGCCAAATTCAAGCCGAATACTGGTAGATTCCGAAGGACGGGAAAGAAGTAGGTGCTCAAAGTATACAGTCCAGATATTGAAAACGATAATAACAACAGTTTAACGCGTTGCACCCAGCTTCCCTTGTCCCAACTCTGGACTTCCTCAATGTCCGTCGCACTTGCTCTGAAATGGGGAGTAGACGTGGTCGTGCCCTCGTGTGGAAAACTGGTCGATTCTCTCAGGGAATTCGATGCGTCACTGTAGTGTCTGTCGCTATCGTCGCTAAGCATAGAAGTCGAGTGTCGGTGCTGTGTGCTTGGTTCCCAAACTTCATCTTTGCCATGTAATACGTTGATCATTAGAGCAGTTGCTGTGCCAGACGGGAACTTCAGCTTCTCTCTTATGATTACTTGGCGCCTCAATGGTACTGCGAAAACAACTCCGAAAAAGCAGAGCCCCAAGGCCCATAGAATAAGTTTCCAAAGACTGAGGAACAATGGACCTCCTTCTTCGGGTTTAAGCAGGTAGTTTAGGGCAGGCATCACGCCTACAAATCCACAGCCCAGTGGCATCGTTCCCATGGATCCAGCCACAGTCTGAACAAGGACATTCTCGACCGGTGTGAACGGGATATCGAGATGTTTGGACAGGGTTTTAAAGAAGGCGAACCCAATCAGCGATGATGGCATGCTCATACTGCTAATCCACCCAGCTGCATATTCGTTAGCTTTTGAGTATGGAAAACCAAGTACTGAAATAGAAGACCTACTCTGGAGCCCAAAGTACATATTTGAAAAGCAAATAACTAATCCAACCCCAAGCCCCACCAATATACCTCGAAGCGTAAAGTTTTGAGGTTCATGCCCATGTTCGCTGAGGAAGCTAAGCTCCTCACTGAGCCGATTCTGCATCCCCTCACCATCCAACTCATCATCAATGACTGGATTATTCAGAGTTGAAATAGTCTGGTATGCCGGCTCTACGGCTCTCCCTCTATCTGGTGCCATCTCTGTGGTATTCTGGGGTTCGATCGAGATCGTGGGTTTCGCTACAGCTGCATTGGACAAGCCCGCTCAGGTACGTCGGCAAGTAAGATCTGTCTTAAAGGATATCCGGAATTATAACATACTTGCACCAGGCCATATTGTAAATAATAAGAAAAGCAGAATAAAGTGTTGACACTTACTTACACAATCTTATCGGCGCTCTAGCGCCCTTGTTTTAGCGCCTCTCACCGCCTTGGCTATGTTGTACCTTTATCTAACTGCCTCCTCAATACAAGTGACATTTCACAAGCGGATTATATAGAGTCACTCCTTATTTTGCTGTCATTCATTTTTACTCAAGTAGTGTATAGCATTTGAGCGCCGTCTACCTCATCTTCCAGGTCTGAGTCGTCGTCTTCTTGTCTGGTCCACTAGCCCATGAAAACTTGACGTCCAGTGCTCTGGAATTGTCTTCTGGCACGGCATACTCAAGGCTTCCCTCTAAAGTACCCCCTACTGCAAAGCTTCTGCTGCTCTTCGCCCCCTCATGATCTATAAACATCACGCCTTGTCTCCAATGGGTCTCTTTGCCGAACGGCCCGGTAGTGAATGCTACTCCCTTCTCTTCCTGCTTGGTCCAGTCCTCCGCTCTTGCATCGACTGGAACGACATCGCGTCCAGAGGGCATGAAGAATGTGTCGAACCAGATATCGAACCCATCCAGTCTATCGATATCGCTTGTGAAGGTAGTCTTCCATGGCCTTGTGAAGACTAAGTCCTTCACAGTAGTTGTGTGGAGGCTCAACTGGAGGAAAGGAAAGGCGTCGCCACAAATGGTACTGCCCGGCATGTGCAGGACCTGGGCATCCTCACGGATGCCGGCCATCATCGCCTTCATATCGAAGCCATACACATCCCTCCAGAATGTAAAATGATCCGCTACGTAGTCGGCATCGGAAACCGGTGCAACCCACATATTCATATGGCTAGGAACCATGAGCCCATCTGGCTTGAGGTACTTGTCTCTGGCCCAGATAACGCTGTCAAGCATAGCCTCGTATAGTAAGCAATAGCCCATCCATTCGCTGACGATAATGTCGACCTTCTCCACCGGCAAAGCTACTTCTTCCACTTTACCTCTCAGGCAAGTAATGATGTCAGCAAACCCATTATTGAATATGTTCTCGCGAGCCTTGTCGATGATGTCCGAGTTGTCAACAGCAATGACTTTAGCTGCGCCAGCCTTCGCACAGAACAAACTGAGAATCCCAGTTCCGCAGCCCACATCAAGCACCACCTTGCCTTTGAATAGGTGCTTGTTTTGATATATAAAATCGCGGTATGCATCGGTCCTGACGGTGTCCCTCAACATGGTTTCATGAATGTCTGCGAGTTGTTAATTATATGGCCCAGTGTTATATGGTATATGAGGCCTACCATTGTATGAGTATGATGTGAAGTAGTGGGAATCATCGTCTCTCTTCTCTGCTGGTGGTTCAGAAAGAGCGGTGTTTTTATCTGCGGAAGTGTCGTTCCATTTGTCTGTCAAAGTCTTCTTCACCACACTCCTATAATCCTCGAATTGAAACTGGGTTTTCCGAAGCTCCTCTTCGAGCTCTGCAACGCGCACCAGAAGGTTGCGGTCATCGGCGACGGGCTCGTCACCTTGCTTGCTTGCGGGTGGAAGGTCGTCTAGGTTGAAGAGTAACGCATCGTCTTGTAGGACGGGAATCATGAATTTATCATCCTCGAAATCGGCCTTTGCAACTTCTGCCAAAGTAGTTTGCCCATTCCGGACAGCAGTGCGTATGTAATTTACCAGCTTGATAGAACCGTAGAAATCTAGAGAGAATTTATTTCGAATTTCGAGAAAGTCAAATCCATACTTTTCTTTGCAGTACAAAAGCATAGAAGGCACATCGGTAAATACTTTGTCGTCGAATAAGGAAACAATTTGATCCTGTTCCTCTTCAGGCTCAGCATCTTCCCAACCTTCATCATCTTCGTTCAAGTCAACGTCAGATGTGTCTGAGCCACTATGAGAGGGAGATCTTGGAGCTGCACTCGTATCAGCGGGTTCAGGCGCTTGGCTGACCGCAAGATCTGTGGCGTTCTCCATTGCTGTTGTGAGAAATCGACCTTTTTATTTTATGAAGATTCTTGTTGGTGTGTGCATATTTATTTACAGTGAAGCGTATTTTTTTGGGTAGTATCACGTGCTGATAATAAACTCGGTATCATTGCCTGCTGTGCTGAAGATGCGCCAATAAGCTTTACCTTATCCGACCCTGCAGAACGCATAGTGATGGCTCATCATACGTGGCGGGTTGGACTGGTATCCAACGTACAATTATCATAAAGCTAGCTACGAATATGTGAATGCTACTTCAATAATGTGTTGTATAGGTGGGGTGGACTATCCAAGGGGTCGCTGTTGCCATCCCGGGAAGGATAAACTTTATGACCGTGCGCTTCAGTGACGTTCCAGGCTCTAATGTTATGGATCAAAACAATATAATAGTGACAGTTGCCAAACAACTCAGTTAATGAGCGCATTTCCAGACTCACTTATATTGAATAACATTTTGCGTGCATCTCTGATGCTGACACATAAAGTCTGTTGAGGTTTCACGGCACTCGGCATAACAAAGACATCAGTTATTTATAGAGGTGGCCTTCACTCGAACTGCGAGGACCCCGGCCGCAACACTCGCCAGAGAAAGGGACCACAATGTCTTTCCTGTTTGGCAGAGGCAGGGCGAGGGCAAGCACAGTGGACTTGCCGAAACAGGCAAAAGAACAAATCCAAAGACTAGATGGCCCTGGCGGGGCAGCAAAGGTAGGTCTCAATCCGACGACTTGATTAGGGTTGCATACTGATTGTGTGAAGACAGAGGAGCTGTCTAAAACGTTGCTACAAATTAAACTTGTACTGCAGGGAAGCCCAGGTAAACATGATGACTCTTGATCCGAGGGAATGCGCTAACTGTCTATTCTAGAGGCAGAGAGTAGCCCAGACCAGGTCTACCAGCTTGTTACTGGGATGATATCGGAAGACTTGCTGTATCTGCTTGCGACGAACCTCCACATGCTATCGTTTGAGTCACGGAAGGATTCACAGAGTATCTTTTCCTACGTCCTTCGATTTCGATCAGCAGGCGCATCACCGAAAAGCGACCCAGTTGCACTTAGCTACGTTATAAGCAACCGACCGGAAATCTTGGTGGCACTTTGCAACGGATATGAACGTAAAGAGAGCGCAATACCTGCGGGGACTGTACTAAGAGAAGTACTGAAAAACGACGCAGCTGCGGCAATAATCTTATACGACGACTCTGGCAATGGGGGCAATGGTTCGAAAGGCCTAACCGGGATACAACCAGAAGTGCAGCAGAGTGGGAACGGTGTCTTCTGGAAGTTTTTCGAGTGGATTGATAAGGGATCCTTTGAAGTGGGAGCAGATGCCTTCACAACATTCAGAGTAAATCTTACCCCCGACTCGATATTTCGGGCGCAAAATACTTACATGTATGGCCAGGAACTTTTGACGAAGCATAAGCAAATAGTTGCACAATACCTATCGACCAACTTTGACCTGTTTTTTGACAAATACAACAACATCCTTGTAAAATCGGACAGTTACGTTACGAAGCGACAGTCCATCAAGCTCTTGGGGGAGATATTATTAGACAGAGCTAACTATGCGGTAATGACGGCATACGTGGACCGTGGGGAACATCTGAAAATCTGCATGAATTTGCTGCGGGATGACCGAAAGATGGTTCAGTACGAAGGGTTCCATGTCTTCAAAGTCTTCGTTGCAAATCCACACAAGTCGATCGCAGTCCAAAAAATACTCCTTATAAATCGAGAGCGGCTGGTCAAATTCCTCCAGCACTTTCTCGAAGATAGGACTGAAGATGAACAGTTCATTGACGAGAGAGAATTTTTGATCAAACAGATCAACAACATGCCCGCGCAACCAGTGGAACCTCTCCAGAAGCCAGCGTTGCTTGGTTCTCAACAAAGGTAGTGTGCGGGATACAGTACTGCTGGTGATAGTCAGTCCCAGTGGAAACTTATTGTATGGACAAAAGCTATTTGATTGCCAATGGGCTATTCCATAATCTTCGACCTTTCTCGGTACAACACGGCTCCAAAATAGCCAACGACAAGCGCTCGTCTTTGTGGCGTTTTGGGTATGAAGCGGGTCTTGTGTGGCATCTCAAATTCTCTATCCTGGGTCTAAAGCTGGCAGGAGACTTGGGATTTGCCGTAGTATACCGTTTAACATATGCTTAACCTGGCCTCGATTCTGTGACCATGGAGTTATGTAAGTTAAGTAGGGTTGCTTGGGAATGGAAACGGTTCCAAAGCTTCAAGAATATGAGTGATTGCGGTCTGTCGGTTGAGTTATAAATATAAATAGAGCGTAATCCGAACGAATACCCAGGAATTGTTACAAAGATGCCTCTCAATTAAACGAAATGGTGGAAGTTCAGTCTTATATATACTCTACTCCGTATACTGATATGGAGTCGTGGAGCAGTTGGTTGATTGGCATCTTCTGTCGCAAGTCCGTCTGTCGTGAGCATCTCCGTCGCCCCATACTCGAAGGCTATATGATAGCGAAAACCACGCTAGTCCTACAACACACTAGTGCATTTCAGGCATTTAAAAAACTCGAGTAGGACGCGATGCGAAGACACGAGTGGATTCGTAGCTAAGTGGATAGCCACCGAGGTAAATTGCAGATTTCTATGATCATTTACTGATCTATTGACTCCTTTGGGTTGGACTGAAAGCCAATATTTGACAACGACAACTTTGTTGTAAGCACCTACCAACGACCCAGTGCAATTTCGAAATGCAGTCTTCATATCGCTCCTTCCAGCCGCTGGCTGCACAAAACCAAAGGTCTCCACACGCTCCTGTCGCGAGGAAGGGGATTGGTACGTGTCATTCCCTTTCAGTTATATGTTACTCTAGGATCTACTAGCGTGTATTTCGAGTTAGCCCAGATCTGTGATGCACCACATCAACATTGTCCCGTCGGACGTTTGCGCCGAACTATTTCTAGAGGTCACCCTTGCTAACATCTCTGTTACTTATCAGCCCCAATGGCTACTGGGCAACATCTCCAGTCGGCACCAAATCAGATGCAAGCCCAACATGAGGGCCAGAAGCTGGCCATCGAACTTGCGAAGCGCCGCAGCCGCAAGCCAACAGACAAGAACATCCCCGAAGGCGTGGAGAGCTGCATAATCGGAGATGGCGCACAGCGATATAAAGAATTGCGCGACGTCGAACGGAAACTGGATGCAGCGATGATGAGGAAGAGGATGTATATCCAGAATTCGCGCAATAGCAGTATGAAGAAACACAGGACGCTGCGCATCTGGGTAAGCAATACCGTCGATGACCAGGAATGGCAGGGAGATGGATTGGTTGTTGATGCATTCGACTTCAACACCAACTCAAACGCCTCATACAAGGTGAAGATCGAAGGAAGGCTCCTGAGTGATGACGAGGATGATAATGAGGAGGAGGACGACGAGGACTCCGACGACGAGGAAGACAACGCCAAAAAGGGAACCATGGATAAAAAAGCGTTGAGGCCATCCCAGAACTACGCCCTTTCGCATTTTTTCAAATCGATGACTGTCGATTTCGACAAGAATCGATCAAGGGACGGAGCTGAGCAGAATGTGGAGTGGAAGAAACCGGCCCTGCCTCCGAACCCAAGAAGTCTGCCTCCATCAGCGGATTTCGATGTGCTCGAATTCAAGCGAGGAGGAGACGAAAATCAGAATATCACCATCAACCTCGTCCGGGACGAGACGCCAGAACGATTCACGCTCAGCCCTCCGTTGGCCGAAATCTTAGATATGAAGGAGGCGACAAGGGCAGAGACCGTGACGGGAATATGGGAATACGTCAAGGTGATGGGTCTCCAAGAGGACGACGAGAAGCGCTCATTCCGATGCGATGATATTTTGCGCCAGGTAAGCACCAGACTGCCTTCAGTTCCTCACTTTCACCGTACTAACCAACACCCAGGTCTTCCAACGCGACACCGGCTACATCCCTAGCATCACCGACGCCATCATCCCCCACCTCTCCGCCCTCCCCCCCGTCAGCCTCCCCTACACCATCCGCGTCGACCAAGACTTCCACAAGCAGCCCGAACCGACCATCTACGACGTCCGCGTCACCATCGACGGCGCCCTCCGCGCCCGCCTCCACGCATTTAACATGAACCCCAACTACGCGGGCACGCTGCGCGACATCTCGACGCTCAACGAAGAGCTCTCGGCTATCATCCAGGCGCTGTCGCACTCGAAGTCTAAACACGCCTTCCTGACGTCGCTGGGCAAGGACCCAGCGAACTACGTGCTCAAGTGGATTAGCTCGCAGAAGCGCGATCTTGAGGTTATTTGTGGCGAGGCGGCGAGGGGTGGGGGGGAGGATGTGGGAGGGGAGGAGTGGAGGAAGGGGGGGGCAGGGAGTGTGTGGGGGACGGAGAATGTGAGGGAGAGTGTCAATTTGATGTTGAGCAGCCGGGCGAGGTAGGTGGTTGTGCGCGGGGCGTCGGTTGTGTTGGGGTTTTGATAACGGTTAGGCGTTTTAAAGTATGGTGGTGTATGTTAGGAGGGCAGCTACGAAGGGATTCGAAGCTGTCGGTTTGGTCTTTCGACGCGTATGTGTTGATAGAAAACCTGTTTGTAATACTTGAATTACCAAGTCTTTAATATGTATACAATGGGCTGTTACTCTGTGCGAAGCTGGGATTTGGGAAGACCAAAGCTGCAAATTGTCATTTGGGTCAACTAGATTATCCATAACCTACTGCTCTATCTCTTGCAGCGAATGTCAAAGGCATAGCCTTGGCCATACGTCAATTCTTGATGCTATTCACAGCCGGGCGACCGATGGTGGCAAAGCCCGACCAAGAGGACCGTGCGTCACAGTCACCCACAAACAACAAACAGCCATACAGCAACTATGGATAAAATCACAGTTCTTAAATCACCCATAACTATCATTGTCACATCACAACTTTTCAATCATCCAGTTCCTTGAAACTTGTGTTAAATTGAGCAATTATGTTGTCTTCAATTCTATAGCAGGTATCAATTCCTAGCATTGCAATGCCTCTTCGCACTTTTGAGCGACACGAGCATTTATATAACACACCACCCTTCCATCCAAGCCATTATAGGCAAGCTGGTTTTTAAGCTCTATTCATAAGCCCCAGCGCATTGGATCTTCATCTCGTAACCTCCCCATAGACTCAGCTCATATCCATCCCATCCTCCGGATCCTGCCGGCTGATATCATGAAACCCAGCTCTACCATCCCCCATCATCCCAGAGCTAATCAAGTACTCCTTCCTCCGATTCATCGAGCCCGCGTAAACATGCGGCTCCTCATCCACCATATCCTGATTCGTTGCCTCCACAGCCTGTTTCGTCGGCTCAGTGACAGGAACCAAGACCTCCGCTCCATCAAAGACCGGCGGCGAGGTGCGGAGGTTATCAAACGTCCGGTCCAGCGACGTCGCGACCAGCCTTCCCTGTGCCAAGTCCTCGCCGAAAAGGAACCAGCCCTCCTTCGCTTCGACGAGGTAGCTCGCGAGGCCGTTGCTCTGTAAGAGTATCTTCGGGCTGCTGATGTGGAAGTGGTTCCCGATGTACTTCGCCCATCCCCGGGCTGCGGCCTGCATGTCCACGTCGTTGCTTATCCTGCTCCATCCGACACCGAGGTGCATCGTGTAATCATCGACTGTAGGACCTCGCTTCGGGCTCTGCCTGGTCGGGCTCGACGAGGGCGTGTTGCCATTCCAGGCATTTCCTTCCTCCGTCTTTGAAGACACGTTGCCCATGTCCAGTCGCTGCGACTTGTGGCTGCGCAGTATCGGCATTGGCGTTATCGATGGAGGGGCGACGGGAAGCGAGTACGCGTCATCGGCGCATGATCGCTTCTCGCTGCCAGAGTCGACGAGGGAGCCATTGAGCCCGAACAGAGTTGTTCCTTCGCCGTATCCCGCATTCTGGCCTAATTCAAGCGATGCGTTGACGGCCTGGCGGAAGAGATCGTTGTCTTCTAGGTTGATTCCAGCCTCGTCGCGTGAGCGTTTGCGGCCGGCGCGTTGCTGGGGCTCTGGGTGGGATTGGTAGCCGGAGCCAACTTCCATTGAGTGATGGCTCGACGGAGCGAAGACTGAAGATGTGCCATAGTTTCCGAAGTGCTGAGCTGAGGTTTGTTCTTTAAAGTCGAGTGCTGGGAGTGAAGCCGACGCGGATTGACCAATGGAACCCATGACCGGACAAGGCTACAACCGGGGAACAGGGATAATAAGGCAACCGGGAGTAATGAAGTGAGAAGTGAAGGGGAAAGGAAGAGAGTTATTTAATAAAGAGTGACAATGAGGTCTTTTGTAATAGAGTACAGGTAAACTGGTGAAATCGAATTGAATAGTTGAAGGTATGTGGGTATGTGGCGGGGAGGGTGGTCTTGAAGTTGGGAGGAATTGGAGAAGGAAGGAAGATGTGAGATGGAAGAAGAGATGGGAAGATAGTGAGGGAGACAGATGAGGGAAGAGAGGCGAGGAGAGACGAGACGAGACGAGACGAGAGGCGGACAAATAAGAAGGTGAGGATGGGGATAGGGATCCGGGGATTGGAGGGATTGGAGGGATTATGGGAAGGGAAGGGGGGAAGGGGAGGGGGGAAGGGAAGGGAGGAAGGGAAGGTCGTCAGTGAGTGGACGACGGTGACCACGCGAGCGAAGTGGGAGGGAAGATGTGGCAAGCGGAGAGAGAGCGGGACACGCATGGGATAAGTTAGTTAGTAGCTAATTAGTTGGTAGCTAGTTGGTAGCTAGTTGGTAGCTACGTAGTTGGTAGCTAGTTGGTAGCTAGTTAGTAGCTAACTAGTAGCTAAATCAGAATGCATCCACTACCGAGCGAGTATCGAGTATGGACATCACCAATATGCATAGCAATAAGTTACATGATATGAATATCCCCATCCCGACTTTGGGCCAGCCAAGCCGTCGCATAAATCCCATCCTAGGCTTCTCGGAATAATGACCCCCTTCGTGGAGTGGTGCTGCCAGGAGACCTGTTGACGCCCCTCCCGCTTCTCCCGTGCTGGACGAACAGCCGCTGAGCAGCCCGCTCAAACATCACTTCGTCGTCCGTGTTCTCCTGTCCGCCGTAGAGCCCTGCGAAGCCTGGCGTATCTAGACCAGGGGGGCTGCCACTCCGCCGCCTCCATCGTCTACGAGGGGGTTGCCATCGAGGCTGTTGCGCGCTCGCGTGTCGACGCCCAGCCGGTGCCGTGTATGAAAAGTGGTATTGACTAAAGTGCCGCGCCTCGGGCAATTGCTCCGGCGTTTGCGGCTGTAGCGATGCAGGTACTCGCTCGTCATACACGTGTAATCTGCGGTATGGCGTATTGGCGGGACCGGGACGAGCTGCGGAAGATGCAATCCTGTTGTCTCGAGAGACTCGCGGTGTCGTTGGCGACGACCTGGACGGCAGATGCCATGGGCCAATCGGCGGCCTGGATCTATACGCCGAGACAAGACGAAATGGCACCGATGAGACGTTACCAGTAGCACTGCCAGACTGAGACTATCAGCTCTGCTGTGGTAAGACCGACTGCACTATTGGATTATCACTCACTCTTGGGCTCTGTTGCAACCCTTGTCCTCCCGCGATATCATCAAGGCCAACCAGACCTGATGGGGTTATCGAACGATCACCAGCATCCCCCCCATGATGAATCCCGAGACTACGCTCTGGGCTGCTCGAGTTCCCAGCCGGAAGTGACCTAGTAGCAGATCCACTCCTCGACCTTGTCGAGAATGGCGGTGGAAGATGCAGAGAATGCAGAGAGACTTCCGAGTTTGTGGTATGCAATGATGATAACTCATCTTCAGGCTGTGCGACACCACTGGGATGGAAAATGCGTGTTGGCGGGGAAGAAGGATGGCTAACTTCTCCATCAGAGCCCTGAAACGAAGCACTATAAAGTTGACTTCTCTCAATGGACAGCGGCATGTCAATCTGAGAATCCGGCTCCGAAATATCGAAATTCTCGAGAATTGATCTGGATTTTTTGGATTCTCCCCATGAGAATGCCGCCGGTGTACGGAGTCGGTAGTCCCTCGAACGCCTCGCTGGCTGTGAAAATAAAACCCCGGGGCTCCCAGGAGACACCAGTTGCGATGCCAGTCCTACGCTCCTACTACCTTCGGGGGAAGGTCGGTGATTATAAGATCTGTATAATGGTGATCGCGGCAACGAATTTCGAGCACGGAGCCGCTGCAGAGCTGGCAGCCCCGCCTCCTGGGGAGTAGACACATCATCCGGAACTGTAAGTGCATATTAACAATACATCCAGCAGGTCGAAATGGACAGCGATTTACCGAACAACGACGAATCCCTTGAAGGTCTCTCCATAAACCCAACATAGCCCAAGTTATTCTCCTGTGGCGTCTCTTGCCGTCTTGATTCTGAGCTTCTAAATGCCAATGGTTGCCTTAAGTCGACGCCCTCACTTGGATTATCATCTCGGAGCGAAAGCCTAGTTAATTGGTACTCATCATCAGTTCCCAAGTCCTCGTCGTCGAGAGACGGCAATCGGCTTATTGGCTCCACCATCTGAGAAGCCTCATCGGTATCAGAGCCATCTGAGGATTTGGATCCTGAAGAGACATCTACACCGTCAGATTGGCCTCCGATAGTATCCCCGGTGTTGAATCTAGCAGTGCCTTGAAAACTGGACTGGCCCCAAGACGTACCAGCTCTGGCATCTTCCGTGAAAGTTGACTGGCGATTATAAAGTGGTTGCATGAACCTCGTACCTCCAGGTTGTTCAGCACCGCCGCATCGTGATGTTGCGGCTTTGCGGACGACGTTCTCTAAATGCTCTACCACGTCCCTTTTGGAAAGAGATATTATAGTAGGAGAAGGCCGAAGCATGATGAACGACTGGGTGAGTACACGCTTCCCAAATGCGCAATGAGCTTCCAACAATTGCTGAGCTGACCGACAATGCTCAGATAGTGATGACTACGAAGTTTTTCAATTCTAGTACTGAAACTATCCTTCATATGGAAGGAGCAAGGGACCTCTCCAGTAGAGTATAATCTATATGTGTGGTAAACATAAACGGCAAGAACGACCAGGAACCGCCGCCGTTGTTCTTGAATAGCCACGGTGCACAGCCGACCATAGTACGTGTATGCCACGGCGCAGAGCTCAATTGCTCCATCTAAACAACCGCATATAGAAGAAAACGAGAGATCAATACTGTATATAGCAACGTAATGGGTTTGATTACATGTCGATCTATTTATAATATGCCAAAGCTGTCTGTGTCAGAATCATCGTATTGTACGCGCAAGGCCACGACCTCTGGGTACCCTTTTACCAATTTCCATCATCCTGGCACTCCACTACTTCCGCTAGTATCAGCGACGGACAACGAACATAAACACAACCACGACACAACCTGTCTCGATAATTCACGTTGCTGAAAGTGAGAGGCTCTGCCCCAGAAGGGGCCAAACGACTAGCTCACCACTATCCACCGTAGCACCCTATCGCAGCTGGGGCTCGCCGACAATCGATTGCCACCTCATCGCCTTGGCTGGCAGCACCTTGGAGGGCTATCCGAAGCTATTGGAAAAGCATAACAGGAATCGGTTATAAATAAGCTGACAAGATCAGGATAATATGTCCTTCCCTCGCGACGGGTCTGGTGTCTCGGTGGGACCGGGTGGAACTGGTGGACAATCTTTCCAAGGAACGTCACAACAGGGCGCCCAGTCTGTCAACTCTTCGAATCCACACGATCAGACGAAGCGCGGAGCACCACAAATTGGCATGGGTGGCATATCGTCCCCACATCCTGAAAGCCTAACCCCTGGCTCAATGAACTCTACACCCGACAACCTGAGCCTCACACATTCGTTTGGTGGTTTGCGTATTGCTAACCCAGACAGAGGGCCTCACGACTCATCAACAGTCACTACAGACACTCCACCATTTGTGGCAAGTCGGGAAATTGTAGACATGACAATGGATGGATCAACTGAACCTCAACAAAAACGTCGCTCGCTTTTCAACATGCTGAGGCGCAGCGAACCGGCCAACGATCCAGAAGCCCCTCGGCTGTCTGGCTTATCCGTCGACAGTAGAAGGCCGTCGCGAAGACATACACCGGAACCTACTGAGCCGTCAGCAGCTACACAAGAACAGGGCCGTGGGCCCTGTGCGCAGAATTACAGGCCGGGACAGTCCATGCCCTTCAACCACCAGGCCCAACAAGAAGCGTTGTTTCCTCCGTTTCAGTCGAGCCATGCACCAGGCAGGGAACGCGGCTATTCTGGGGGTAGGCCTGTCTCTGGCGCGTACTCGCACACCCCGCCGCCTGCAAACAACATACCATCTCGGCAACCTGGTTCATATCGGCTACCAACCGAATCTTCAAGCAATTCCGTGCACAGTAGCGCTCCGAGGATAGAATCGCGAAATGCAGAAGCAGTCATGGCAGCTGGTGCAGAAATTCGAGATGATAGCCATAGAGATCGATCATACAGTCAAAGTCAGCCAATTTTACTCGGCAATGGTTCAACACGAGATAGCTCGAGGGCTTTGGGAGGTGGTCGGGGAATTGCGAACCCGAATATGGCGCCCAATCCAGCTCCTCCGGGCGGATCGCAATCATACGGCCTGGACGGTCCACTCCAAGCAAGCAGTGAAGAGTGGAAAGAAAGGGGGGCTGCAGTTGGCGTGCGACAAGAAATCGATTCGAGCGGCAAGCCAGTTTTAAGATCTGTAAAGAAGGGCGTTAGGGATTTCTCGTTTGGTCGAACACTCGGTGAAGGGTCATACAGCACTGTCCTGGCTGCGACAGATCGCCAGACATTGAAAGAGTATGCAGTCAAAGTACTCGACAAAAGGCACATCATCAAGGAAAAGAAGATCAAATATGTCAATATTGAGAAGAATACGCTCAACCGTCTGACGGAACACCCGGGCATTGTTCGACTATACTACACGTTTCAGGATGAAAAGTCATTATACTATGTTCTGGATGTGGCGAGCAACGGGGAACTCCTCGGAGTGTTGAAGAAGATTGGCACATTCGACGTGGAATGCACCCGTTTCTATGGTGCGCAAATTTTGGATGCCATCGACTACATGCACTCTCGTGGTGTGATTCACCGAGATTTGAAGCCTGAGAACGTTCTTCTCGACGATCAAATGCACGTAAAAATTACCGATTTTGGAACGGCGAAGCTGTTAAAAGACCCATATGCTGTGCCGAAACAGGGCCTTCTCGAGATGGACAAGGAGGATGACGATAATCGAGCAGCGTCATTTGTTGGCACGGCAGAGTATGTCAGCCCGGAGCTGCTCACGGACAAAAACGCTTGCAAAGCAAGCGATCTCTGGGCGTTCGGCTGCATCATATATCAGCTACTCTCAGGAAGGCCGCCTTTCAAGGCTGCGAATGAGTACTTGACGTTCCAGAAAATTGTTGGGTTGGATTACGAGTTTCCGCCTGGCTTTCCTCCGGCAGCAAGAGACTTGGTAGAACGCTTATTGGTCCATGACCCGCAGAGGCGGCTGTCCATGGAGCATATTAAGAACCACGAATTCTTCGATGGCGTGAAGTGGGGTCGCAGCTTATGGAGGCAAAAGGCGCCGAGGTTAATGCCTCATGTCCCCCCTTCGCAAAAACCGCACGTTATCAAATTGGACGGATACCAGAGTTCCCCACAGCCAATATCAACACCCCGTGGTGCGAATGGTAGCAGCAGTTCAAGACCAAAACCACGAGTAATTACTGAACTGCCACCTCCCAGCCAGCTAGATATTGAATGGTCTCCTGTACTAACTCGGAATAATGAGAGAATACTCAAGCTTGGGAATCTCATGGTTACTTCAAGCCCAATAGCCCACAGCCCGGGATCTAAAAGCGGCGACAACGGCAAGAGCGACAATAAGTTCTCCCGCTTTTTTGGTGGAAGCACTATCAAGAAGAGGCAGAGGCTAGTCATGGTTACCTCGAGCGCCCGGATTATTTTGGCAGCTGCTGGAGGGGATGAGAAGAAGTCGAAGACGGAAATATCTCTCTTGGCTTCCGATTGCACGTGGCGGTTACAGGCAGAACTGAAGGGGCAGGCAGGGTGGTGTGTAGATACGGTGAGTTTTGGTAGTTGCTGTGTTTACTAAAGTGATATCTAATGGTTTATAGCATGGAACCCATTATTCGTTTGAAGAGCGATCATCTAATAGCTCGTCGGACCTGGGTCGAACAACCCCTGAAGAGTGGATTGAAACTCTCGATAGCGCGAAGGACTTCGCGATGTCACAAAGCATGTTGGGTTCTTACAACAACGACGGCAACTTCGCCGAGATGTCATCATCGGTGTCAAGTCCGACAAGCACCCTTGGCGGCGGGAACACGTATCCTGAGGGAATGGGTGTTACCGACCGCAACGGTCGCAAAAACCTGACAAAGAACCAAGAAGATGCACCACCGAAACGGAATAGGTTCAGCAAGCGCCAATCTAAGAGCGGACTCGCGGCTGTCTTCTAGCTGGTCGGTGGTCTTGCTTCAAAGCATATTCTCCGGCTCGGGAGTTCATAACGATTCGAATTTTCATTCTCACATAGCATTTGCCAGCGCGGCGTTGGGTCTGTCCAGCATTTTATTTTTAATTGTTCATGTAGATCTTTAGTGGGGGGCGTGGCGTGGAACGGCCATGATTCATCATCAACCTTGAGAAAGATGAAGTATATCGAATACCTTACTTGGGAATAATTGTTTCATGTGCATGGGAGCAAAGGGAAGGGCAATGGAGTGGCCGGATAGTGTGAGGGAGGGGGGTGAGGTGCTTTTTACTTATCAGAGACACGATTGACTAGACAACGTATTTTCCGATGAAATCTACATATTTGCTGTGGGAAAATAGAAAGCTGGAGTTCCGCATATGAGGTGTCGTGTTCCCGAGACTGTAGTGATACAGGAGAGCCATGGCGGAATTGGAAGATGTTTAGAACGTCGTAGACCATGGAGATGCAGAAGAGTATGGGACCTGATATGAGATCCAAAATAGACAATCTGACAGAAACCTATCGATGCCAAAATACCGACAACTCCAATAAGGTATGGTATAATATAATATACGTGTTACTTGGTAGTAAAGCACGGTGTTTTCGGCACTGGTTCCTCTCTTGCCTTCTGTTTCCCCTCTTGGTTCGAATGGCACCCGCTCCTTCCTCTCCAATCGTTTGGTTAGACCTCCGATAGAAGTGGCATCCAACGTCCTGTCTATTGGCCTGAACTGTCCCGATTCTCAGAGTCAAAGCCCATCCCCCCACCACCCCCACCACCCCCACCACACAAGTAAACATCCATGTTGCACATGGCTCAACGCGACCCAGCTTCGGCCTCGCAATTCGTGGACGATGAAAAGTTACCCTAGCACCTGGAATTGACCTATCCCTGACTCTCTGACTCCCCGACTCGCTGACAATTGATATCGCCCCCAGCAGTCCCTTTCCATCAGAAATCAGTTGGCCCGCATCGAAAAGAGAACTGACCGTGTTATAATTCGCTCTAGAGAGAGTTCAGGGCAACGGGACTATCGAAGGCGAGTCAATCATCGCGGAACGAGGCGCATGTGCGGCAGCGAAAGGAGGCACCTGGATCATCCTGTCTCTGTTTACCGTCACAAGTTTCAGGGCTTCGAAGGTTTCCGTCACACGGCGGGCACGCTACACGACTGTTGATAAAGCACAATAACAAAGACATGATCGCAATCTGCTGAGTCTCTCTCTGGCTACCGGAATTTCATTGCGGGGGACTGGAACGCTTGCGCTCAAACAAAGCCGTTCTTTGATCTTTGATCCGAGTGTGAGGGCTTATCGCGCTGCCGTCTTTGAAGCACCCTCTGCGCACATGGTAGCTTCTGAGCGAGAATAACTGAGCGGGTGCGTCCTCTACCTCTATATCCCTCTCGCCCATTCCCAAGACGCGTTGCTGACTACTTCTCAACTACAGCAGCTTGCTTAGTCGACCAGATCCCAAACTCCTAAATGGTCTCACAGCCGGAGCCCTCGCGTTCCCTCTCCGTCCGCGGCCCCTCATCCGTCGTCTCGCGCTCAAGTCGACACCGCCGCCAGAACCGATCACTAGCCGGCGGCTCCTCATACGTCCCACAAAATGAGTTCCCGGTCTTCGCGAACACGGGCGATGTGGAAATCCTCGTCAGCGCTGGCGGGAAGGAAAACAGATATCTCCTCCATCGCTTGATCCTCACGCAGTGCTCCGGCTTCTTTGAGGCCAGTACAAGCCAGGAATGGTCGCGTGGGCATACCGAGGCCAGCAAGGAGTTGGCTCGGATCGGGGAGGACGGAGGCAATATAGATAATGCGAGCCGGACATCGTCGTCGCCTCAGAAACATCGCTGGCGCTATGAGCTAGATAAGGGGGCCGATAATAGCGACATTCCCATGCTCGTGCAGGCAACCCCTCCTGCGCCGTCTCTCTTCAACCCTATGTCACCCCCGCCAGTCCGCAACAAGCCTCCGAGCTCATCAACCTCATTCTTCCGCTCAGTTGCCAATCTCAGCATTACCGCACCGGCACCACTATCGCAAGAAGACACGGATCTCCTCCGCGACTACGACAACCTCTTCCGCATATTCTACAACTACCCACCCTCCCTCGACCCCATTAATATCGCCGACGCCTACATCCAATGCAAGTCCCTCCTCGCACTAGCAGACATGTACGACGCCCTCATCGTAGTCGGCCCGCGCATCGACCACCACCTCCTCCAATTCCAATCCCGCCTCTTCAAGCAAATCGCCAAGTACCCGCCCTCCTACCTCCGCCTCGGCTACATGGCCCGCTCCAAAGTCATCTTCGCCGAAGCCCTCATCCACGTCGTCGGCCAATGGCCCGTCGGCGAGCGGCACCTCCGCCAGGCACTCCCGCAACAAGTGGTCGAGCTCATAGAAGATAAAGTCGACGAGCTCGCCGATGTCGTCGCGGGTGTCGAGGGACGCCTTTTCCGCCTCTCTCTCCTAACCAGCCGCGGTGACCGCGTCAGTCCGCAAACTAGCTACGTTGACTGGCTTGCCGTCTCGCTGTTCCGCGAGTGGCTAGCGGAAAACACATCTTCCCCCCCTCCTGCCCCCGCCAAACCCGTCTCAGCCTCCCGCCCAAACACCAACCCCCACGAGCGCCTCGACGCGCCGCCATTGAGCGCAAATAGCGCCAGCATGCCGCCTCCCTACAGCGACCACCCCGTGCCGTATTTAGGGCGCGTATACCGCCTCCTCGGATCGAGCTCCCGGAGCGCGTATCTAGGGCACGAGGAGTGCAAGCGCTTCCTCAAGCTGACGCCGGAGCTGTATTCGAGGGAGACGTTGAGGAGATTTGAGGGGAAGGTGGAGGAGGTGAAGGGGCTGGCGAGGGAGACGGTGGCGCCGCTTATGAGGTGTACGTTGCAGGGCGGGGCGGAGGGGGTGAGTTATTTGACGTGTACGAGGATTGGGCATAATGATTGGGCTTGGGAGAATGAGTGATGGGGGGGAGGCAGGATAATAGAACTGGACTGGACTGGAGGAGGGTTGACGGCTAACGTGGAGCTGGCGCGTTGTAAGTGTGATGTTGATGAGATGATTACGATGATGAGTTATGTCTGAGCGATGGATGGATTCATATTCATATACCCTTGTGCTAGGAATGGGATTGTTTGGGGTGGGTGGGTGGGTTGGTCGGGGTTGTATTTTACGACTTTGTAATATTGGATATATGGGAATTAACCAAGGAGGCATTTTACCTAACGATAACAAATACTATTTTCATTACTTGAAATCTATGGGATGAAACAGCACGAACGAAGGTTATATATTAATTACAGCGGAATCACATTAGGCCCAGGTGCTATTGTGAGAATGTACTTCTACAGTAATATACTTTTGCCAGCCACGAGATAGAGGCTATGAGCTCCTCGTCTTCCCACTGCCACCATCCAGCCATCCATTCCCAAAAGAGATCCGTTTACTCCCCATTTTGCGCGCCAGCGTCTCAAATTCCCTTTTAAACCCCCTTCTATCCTTTCGCCATGAAACGACAAAAACAAGATGCAATATTACTCAACCAGCAAGTGCATGAACCTAAGGAGTCAATATAAAGCTGACAAAGCCTATCCCATCCTGTGATGCTCCTCCCGGGAAAGCATCAAGCATGATCACCCGAGCGCCTTCAGACTCAGCCGTCTTTGGGGATATTTGCACCGCCATTCTTATACCTCTCCTTCGCCGCCAGGTATGCCGCTGACACCCTCTCCGGGTCATACTTTGGGGCATATGAAGGAGCTAGGGCATCGACAAGCGCGTAAACAATGCAGAATGCAATGATGAACATGGGCATCCTCCACAGGAACGGGCGGCGTGACGACATCGATCTCCAACGCTGGCTGGCCATCTCCAGATGTGTCCGTACCTGCTCGCCGCCGAGTTTGTAGTATACCAGGCCACCCAGGGCGATGGCATATCCGATAAACTGGAGGGGCGTGACAATGGTGCCCCAGATCATCATTGAGGCTGCTACAAGGAGGATATCCTTGAGGACGCCGCAAAGCGTGAGCACGAGGGAGGACGTCTTTCCGATGAGGAAGACCACAGATATGTTTAATGCGAACGCCACCATGGCGTTGAGGGCGAAGTTAAGCAACCCGACTTTGTGGACCTCTTCCATTGAGACTTTCGGTACCTCCCATGCCAATGCGATCAGGCCATTGAAAACTGTGCAGACTGGCGCAAAGTAGTACAGGGATACGAGTGGGTCCATCTTCGAATCAGGGGCGTTGAGGAGACGTTGCACCATGACGAGTCGCACGGCTTCGAACATGATTCCACCGCATTGGAAGAGGAACCCGAGCATCACGAATTTGATCTCTCCGAACGAGGCTAGGACGACACCGATGACGATGAAGGAGACGTTAAACAGAACCCGCATGTTGGGCTTTTGAACCCCGAAGAACCAGCCCGTTACAAGGACAGCCACTGGCGTCGTCGCCTGCTTCGAGTTAGCAAATGCTCTCATTTTGTCGATATGCGCCTGGGCCTACCTTGAGCATCTGGATGAATGCGACGCTGAGGTATAAATACGTCAGGTTTCCGCATATCAGACTAAGACTGTAAACTATCCCTATGGGGAGGATAGTCCGTATATACATGCGCGTATTCATGCGAACATTCTTTCGTCCATCGAGGAGGGTCGTCGTTCGAGCCATGATCTGCGTCATTACCGTCGCAAAGAAAAGATGCCATGCTGTGAGAAGTACGGGGTATCCTGGGTGGTTGATTTAGCCATTGCAACGATATAGGTTGAATTGGGGTGTTTTACGGAATTCTTGGGAATCGAGGATCCATTTGTTGAACAGAATGACGCTGGAGCTCAGCGAGATCCAAATCCTGGGGGTGGGGACAAGTTAGAAATTATGAACTGCGACGCTCTTGCGAACGAGAATTGGATATGGGAATAGGATATACTTACACAACATAGACTGAAGGATGTAACGCCGGAGAGTCCGTATCTTCCTCTTTAACATCCTGAATGACCCTTGGCAATGATGGCTCGATCTTCTCTAAGCGGGGGTCATCTCCAGAATCGGGGGCCCTGTCGTCCGCACTCATAGTTGCGCCCTGGGAGAAAGCGCAAGGTTAAGGGGGCACAAACGCGCTGGGAGGGAGGCCTTTCGTGCAGCTTTGGCAGATATGGATATATATACTCAATGGGCGTTACGAGCAGCGAAATGGGGTGGTTGTGGTGAGAGCCAGATAAACAAGGAGCACAGAGCAGGCAGAGCGTGGCAGGTATAGGAGATGGATAAAAAACGTGCCATGGTGTTCATCATACGTCTCTGCCCGTCAGGTAAGGCAGTACGTGAGCAAAGTGCATGGTCGATTGGTTTATGGAGCTAGAGAAATATGGCTCTACCAGATCGACGGTGTTGGTTGGCATGGAAGGTACAGACAGAGGGAGAGCTGAGAGCAACTTGGAGAGCGGAGGGCAGTCAGTACCATAGCACAGCCTCATATGTTGCTGGGTGGGGAATAGAGGCAGTGTACTGCCGGGCGGTGAAGGGATCACTTTCACCTTCCTAGCACAGCTCTAGATATGTCCGATTGCGAGATGATGATCTAGGTATAATACATGAATATACCAATTGGCTGAAAAAACTATCTTTTGCGCCAGGACGGTTGTCAAAAGGGGAGACGAGGAGATTCTCTGAAGATCCAGAAGATCCACAGATGATCAGATCTTGGTACGGCGATTACGTGGAGCAAGCACCACTTCTCTGTCGATTGTATACCGTGATATACACATACCTCCACACAATGGAGTCTTGCGATTGAAGCAAAAGAAAATCAAGCCACGTACTGCATACGATTATGTACGTAAAGTCCGTTCATCCTTGGGTTGATCTTGCGGCCCTTGCTGAAGACCTCAGGCGATCGGAGGGAAGCTTCCACTGTTCTATGGGGTACAGTACCGCGATACTCTGAAAACAGCTGTACTGTGATTGTACTGGTACTGTACTCTCTTCCACGAATATGTGGTAGATCAGAGAGGAATGTTCGAAGTTTATACTCATAATCAAAACTCCGGACTGCTTTATCAAGAGCCTTTTGATGCTATTGTGATAAACTGCTCGGTTTTATGTGAATCGTGACCGTCAACTATCAAAAGTCTCATTACATGATGAGTACGCTGCTGAATGTTGAATAAAGTGGTGCAGATATTGAATTCCAACCGCATTAACGATTACAAGAGCGTCAGGCTCAAGATTATCATATCATGACTCCACATGAAGCTTTCCTGGTAATATAATACACTTAGGAAGTGCATATCCCTTAGCATTTATAGTTCCGATGACAGTAACAGAGAGTCGATTATCAGGGTTATCTACAATCCACTTTGTACGTTAGTATTGGACTCTTTAGAATAGAGTTAACTTACCTGCTTTACTCCGACTGGTACAATTACATCTGTAGACCGATAGCATCCAATCATGTAACCTGTCTCATCAAGCAAGTCTGCGACAGCTTGTAGCAGCGTACTCCGATTTGCAGGAATACTGCGCTCGAGTTGGTCATGTATAAATCGTCAAATTGCAGCATCTTGTGCAGGAGTCAATACTCGGTTTTGTCCTCCATATGGCTTGCGCGTTGTAGATGTCGGCTTCGATATGTGTCGTCGTAGAGTTTCGTACTTGATGTCGAATTTTGTAGCGACCTAGGAGGTTGTACGGAACTGCGCCACTTTTGCTTTGAACGGAGTTGGATCAAGCCCAGCCCGAAATAGCAAGAGTACCTCAAAATACATGTGCAGTACTGACTTTAGACTACTGACCTGTACTCCGTACTGCAACAAACATGGAAGCTTTGGCCATGATCCTGGTCGACCCCGCCACTTCCTTCTTTACCCTACCACATACCCTTAATGCCTATTCGTGACCGCCCTGGCCCGTCATGACTCCTCGAATGGTACGAGATTCAACAGTCGCGATTCATCTAGGAACCATATCTCCGTTCCTCAGTAATTTCTCTCCTGATTCCTCTCTATAGCGACTACATGTTGCTACACAATCATCTGAAGTTGCTGAAAAGATCACTCGCATTGATTGGGACACGAACGCCACATTCAAAATGAGCAAAGGCGATGTGTATGTGGTGGCCCTCCTCTGATATAAACAATCAACAGATCCTCCCGCGACTTATTGCTGACGTGTTCTTATAGAGAAGTCGATATTCTCATTATTGGGGCTGGGCCGACGGGCCTGGGTGCGGCCAAGCGCCTGAACCAGATTGTGCGACTTCCCCTCCATCGTTGCGACCGCTGTGGCTGACATTATCGCTAGAACGGGCCCTCATGGTTGATTGTGGACGCAAATGAAACACCTGGCGGTCTGGCTTCTACAGACGTCACACCGGAAGGCTTTGTAAGTTAATTGGCTCCGGCCCGCGATTGTGTTCTATTATTTTACACACAGTGCTAACTTGAGGGCAGCTTTACGATGTTGGAGGCCATGTGATATTTTCACATTACAAGTACTTTGACGACTGTATTGATGAAGCGCTTCCAAAGGAGGATGATTGGTACACTCACGAACGCGTATCGTATGTGCGATGCAAAGACCTTTGGGTCCCATATCCCTTTCAAAACAATATTTCGGTGCTCCCAAAGGATGATCAGGTCAGATGTATTAATGGGATGATTGATGCTGCTATAGATGCTCGTGTTGCTGTAAATAAGCCTGCCAACTTTGATGAATGGATTATTCGTATGATGGGCACTGGCATTGCCGACCTGTTCATGCGGCCATACAACTTCAAGGTCTGGGCGGTTCCAACGACGAAGGTATGGCTGCGGCTGTCCTATATACCCTTATACCCTCGCGGCTGCTAACTCTCTTGCAGATGCAATGCCAATGGCTCGGCGAGCGTGTTGCGGCCCCGGATCTCAAAACAGTCACCAAGAATGTCATCCTTCAAAAGGTGGCCGGGAATTGGGGCCCCAACTCTACCTTCCGATTCCCTGCTCGCGGTGGAACGGGTGCCATCTGGATCGGCGTCGCAAACACGCTGCCGAAGGAGAAGACTCGATTCGGCTCTCATGGCAGCGTAAAGAAGGTCGACGCCGCTGCCAAAACTGTGACAATATCAAACGGCAGCACGATTAAATACAAAAGGCTCATTAGCACCATGGCTGTTGATCAGCTTGTAGAAAGCATGGCTGATGAGAGGTTGATTAAAATGAGCAAGGACCTCTTCTACTCATCCACGCACGTTATCGGAGTTGGGATTCGAGGCGAAAGACCTGAGAATATTGGGGACAAGTGCTGGGTATGTTCCTCATCTTACTCGGAGCTGCAAAACTTAACGGGATTCAGCTCTACTTCCCCGAAGACGCTTGTCCGTTTTACCGAGCAACGATCTTCTCGAATTACTCGCCGGGAAATCAGCCACTCGCGTCTGTCAAGCTGCGAACAAAGTATCTTGCAAATGGTGACGCGCCAGCGTCGACTGAACCGCAGAACGGACCCTACTGGTCTATCATGCTTGAGATTTCAGAGTCGTCTATGAAACCTGTCGACCAAGAGAATCTGCTCCGAGACTCGATTCAAGGGTTGATAAACACTAAGATGATCAAAGAAGATGATGCAATCGTCTCAACCTACCACAGGCGTTTTGACCATGGCTACCCAACGCCTTCCCTTGAGCGAGAAGGTGTCTTGAAGCAGCTTCTGCCTGCGCTTGAAGCGAAAGGCATCTACTCCCGTGGGAGATTTGGAAGTTGGCGATACGAGGTTGGCAACCAGGACCATAGCTTTATGCTTGGTGTTGAAGCTGCCGACCACATTGTCAACGGCGCGGTCGAGTTGACGCTGAATTATCCAGACTTCGTAAATGGCAGACGCAATGAAGAGCGCCGCTTGACTGACGGAGCACAACTGTTCAGAAACTCTGCCACTGATAAAGCAGACGCTGCTGGAGACGCGAAATTAGTCGACATCATGTCGACTAAAGCTGGATCGAGGCCTGACTTGGGTCCCCTCGCGAACGGCATCAATGCTCTGAGAAATTCGAAAATTGGAATTGATGGCATTTCGTGCATGAATGGTAGTACATCTGATGACGCGGCCAAAGAAGCCATCGCTAAAGAGGTGATCAGGGAGTTAAGAGGTGCCTGAAAGCAAGGACGGAGTCATTGCTGTGGAGTTGGGGGTTCAATGGGGATACAGGATATAAACCTGGTGCAACATTAACTGGGTAGAGAGACAGGGCCATATCCTTGTGCGCTGTTTGGGGCATTGTCTGGTATCTGGAGTTGAACGGTAGCTGGTAAATTGGGGGTTGGTTGGGGTCACAAAAGGGGCGTGTCGGGGTTAAGGGCTATATTAGACCGAGTTGTGCTTTTAACATTTTAACATGTCTTCATTAATGATATTCTTGTCAACAATCTTAGATCAGACTGCAGTGTAACCTTTTGAATGGCTTGTTGCATTGAAGTTTGCTGTGCTCCTCTCTCTGTGTCACTAAACTTCGAACTGGTGGCGGCTCAATGACGTAAGGAACGCACCCTTGCGTTTCAGTGTCTCAGATGGACGGCCTCAAACGTCTTTTGCCGCCGCCGATTGAGTTTTTGACGCGATATTTTGGTTCACAACTGTCAACTGTCAACTAACAGTAGTGCGACATTAGTGCTCAGTAAATACCTTGGTAAACATATTCTCTGTGCCTCCCTAAAAGTGTTCTGATCAATGGGGGGTTTATGGGCTAGAGTAATTTAAGCTTCTATAGCGCGTCATACTGCAGATTACGCCAAGACTTTGCCGTAAGAAGCAAAGCGCCATTGCTGAATTCACATCAACACCGCAAGTTGGGCGTCCATACAAATCAGTCTCCAACCAAAACGACATTAAACTATCCCAATACGTATAGCTCTCCGTTTTATTGAGTCTCGCTACTCATGGTATATGGTATCCCTTCTGCCATCCAGAAGATGAGCTGAGAGTGCGTTGTAACCATGGATGGTCCCGTCGGTGCTGTGGATGACCACCACATACCGCCTCCCCGACTTTTCGAGCGACTACGCCAGATCCGCGGGTACACCTGGGACGAGACCCGGCCGCCCATTCTCTCGAGCTACGATAGCTGGTATGGCGAGCACGCAGACCACCAAATGAGCACGGGGGACTAACGGTGTACAGGCGTATCTTCGGCACCAAACATGGCGCGCCGACTTCAGTAGGACCCTTCAAAGATGCCGCTGACCCTAAGAGCCACTTGCACACCAGTGCGACCAAGAGCTCCTTAGTTACATACCGCGAGGCCGAAGGTGCCCCTGGGGTCAACGACAGCGAGACGGCCGAGCCACTGGTCCATGTCATTGCGAAAATATCAACGCATACGCTGCGGGAGGAACGGGCTTTCCATATATGCTCGAACCTGTTCCACTCGGTCGATCCGCAGGGGAACCATATAGCCAGGCCGGTAGACCTGCTTAGGTTGGCCCGGCAGCAGGGTGATAAGGGTCCATTGGTGGTGTCCATCTTCGAGGCACCTGGGAAGAACTCCCTCCTTAAGTATATAGAGTTTGGCCCAGCAGGGCAAAATCTACAGACAGCATGTCAACTGATACCCCTTCCGGTTTTTCTTGACTTTGCTATTGGAGCAACGGAGTGTCTAGAGATTTTACACCACGGTCAACGTATAGTCCATGGAGAAATCAGAGGCGATGCGTTTAACTTCGATGAGACTACGGGTCAAACCCGGCTTATTAACTTTGGATCCGGGCTGCGGTCGTTTGAGCATGGTCTCACGAGCCATGGCTGGTCAACGTTGTCTAAGGAGGCTGGCGCAAAGACCAAGCTGTCATTTATAAGCCCAGAACAGACTGGACGAATGCCTGCAGAGCCTGATAGTAGGACCGACATATACTCCCTGGGGATACTTTTCTGGACGCTGCTCACACAAAAGCCTGCCTTCGATGGCCCCACTCCGATGGACATCATACAAAGCGTCCTCGGAAGGCGGTTGCCGTCTGTGTCGACAGTCAGACTCGAGGTCCCCGATATACTAGGCCGTATTATAGCGAAAATGACTGCTAAGGACATTAGTGAACGATATCACTCCGCCAGCGGACTTCGTCATGATTTGGCCGAGGTCCAGAAGCTACTTGGGAATGGAGATTCAATAGCCTTGGGCAATCTAAACCTAGCCACCAAAGACGTATCTTCGTTTTTCATCCTCCCATCGATAATGATCGGTCGTGAAGAAGAGCGGGATGAGATCGTCAAAATTATCGACAAAGTATCCAAAGAGCATACAACAAGCCAAAAGCAGAGCCCCAACGTGCTCTCGTCTCGATCCAGCATATCAGATGGCCGCCCCGAGTCCTTGGATATCGCAGACGACATCAGCGAGCACACGAGCTCGGCAGGGAGTAAAAGCAACGGCACAGCAATATCTGGGCAAAACGCTCAGCGATTACACCATGCTTTATCGTCTGCCTCTAGGGCAAGTTCACAGTCTCACGCAACCAAGGATTCGGCACATGGGGACACCCAGCCGAAGCCCTGGAGCAAAATCGACTCTCAAAGCACAACTGGTGGGATGTCTACGAGTAGCGACACGCAGAGGAGCACGTCCGAAGGGGCTGGAAGCATAAGCCAGAAGAACGTGCATAAGTTCAGCAGGAAAGGCCGCTGTGAGGTGATCTCCATTGCTGGGGCTGGGGGCCTTGGCAAGAGTCGCCTTGTCCACAGCGTGCAAGTTGAGGCTCGAAGGCGTGGATACTTTGCTTCATCAAAATTTGATTCCGCTCAGCGAACTCCATTTGGCCCGTTACTCAAACTATTATCATCCCTTTTTAAGCAAGTCTTCTCGGAGAACGATACTGATACGCCATTCCATCAAATCTTGAAGCATTATGTTAGACCTGTTTGGCCAATTCTCCACAAAGTCCTCGGCCTCCCGGAATTCTTGCTGGGATCTGACAATACACTGAACCGCCGTCCATCGCAGCTCCAACCGACTTACAATAAAAGTATACGCGCTGACCAAAGCCGACGAGACTCGACCAGCACCCGGGTTAGCCTCTATAGCATTTCCCTGACCTCGCAAACCTCCCAAGAATTCCTTCGAGCCGGTTCAGCCACGAAATCAGCGAGGCTAATGAATACATTCCTCGACGTGTTGCGCGTCTTTGCCCAGTGCAAATTCCTCTGTTTCTGTCTGGATGATCTTCAGTTTGCCGATGATGAATCTCTGGAACTAATCTCACAACTAATCTCTTCCAAGGTGAAGGTTGTCCTCATTGTGACTTACAGGCCAGAAGAGATGTTGCCGGAGCAGATCAAAAGCATTATTGAACCCCCAGGGACAGACGGGCTCCGTAAGCATATGCCATACCATCCGCAACAAACGATTATTTGCTAACACATACAAGGGAACATTAAAACTGGTGGAGTGAGCGTAACAAGAATCGTATTGAAGCCATTAACCGAAGATGATATAGCCCAATACGTGGCTGAGTCACTACGCCGCCCAGCTGAAGATATTATCCCTCTTGCGGCAGTTATTCAGTCAAAATCGGCAGGAAATCCATTTTACATGCGTGAGATGCTTAGCGCTTGCAACCGGAAGGGATGCATCTTCTATAATTACCAAAACTCGGTTTGGGAATACGACCTGGATCGAATCTTTAGAGAATTCTCGACAGAAACCTACCATGATACCCTAAATGACGACTTCGTTACCCGCCGCCTCAGCGAGCTACCAGCCACAAGTCGATCTATCCTAGCATGGGCCTCGCTGCTTGGCACATCATTCTCCTTTGAACTGATCCAGCGACTTCTGAGCGGAGAATTTGATTACAACGATGATGACGAAAGCTTCCCAAAGACTCCTCTATCGCCAGGTGAAGAGCCGGTATCCTTCACCCACTCCCAACAAGATGCTGTTGCTGGCCTCCAGGCCGCGATCCAAGCGTATATTATAATGACAACAGGACATGATGATAGGTTTCGATTTGCGCACGACCGGTATATACAGGCAGCGTCATCATTGGAAATGAGGAATGTAGGAAAGATGAACTTTGTGGTCGCCTGCACACTTCAAAAGTATTACTCGTTGGATGAGAGGCTACGAGAGTCAACAGCTGCCCATATTTGCGCATCTGTCGATATTATTAAGAAGCGGATAACCCACCGCCAATCCTTCCGGAAGATACTTTTTGAAGGCGCCCAAACAGCAGCTGAGAACGGTGCGAGGCCGACAGCAGCCAGGTATTACGATCATTGTTTCGCCTTACTTCAAGATTCTCCTTGGGATGACGAGAAGGAGGATTGCTACTACGAGGAGACTCTTTCCCTTTACATCCGAGCGGCTGAATGCCACCATTTTATGGGCCACTTTGAGGAGACCACTCGTCTGCTCAGTATTCTCTTGGAGCACGCTAAAACTGCCGTCGAAAAATCTACAGCTTGGGTACTACAGTCTCGTATGTATGCTCAAACTGGAGACTCTGCATCGGCTTTCAAATGTCTCCGCGTTTGCCTGTCTGCGTTGGGTACTGATGCAGATGAAAATCCTACATGGGAGAAATGTGACCAGGAGTTTGAAAGACTTTCATTGAAGCTCGGAAGCATCGATCAGAAGGGGCTGAGCATGCGACCATTAGGATGCAAAAGCTCCAATCTTGAAGCCGCAGGTGCTGTACTTGTGGAGATCATTGCCGATGCATTCTGGTCGGATCGTTTGGTCTATTACAGCACCTCCCTGGTGATGGTTGATACTTGCCTTACGCAGGGAAACTTCCCGCAATGCGGCCTGGCGTTTATGCACCTGGCTACTATCGCTATCTCGCGATTCTCGATGATTGAATTCGGTAGCCAGATGGGTAACCTTTCCCAAGACATGATGCACCAGTGGCAAGATCCATATACCCTTGGTATCGGTGGCACAATATACTCTTTGTTTGTAGGCCATGTCCAAGCATCGCTATCAGAGTCTATCCATCAACTTGAAGGCGCGCTGGAATATACTATTCAATCCGGTGATCGAGTCTCGACAATATTGAACTTCGGTGTTGTTGCTTTACTGAAGCTCTTCGGCTCGGAACACCTCGCTGATATAGAATCCTTCTGCCAATTCGGATGCGAAGAAATTCCAAATTGGCAAGACGACTGCCGAGGCGGCAGCATGCTAATCGCCGTCCGCCAAATTTGTCGCGCTTTGCAGGGCAAAACCAACACCGGATCTGCTGAGCATGTTATGAGCGATGAGGGTCATGACACTGCCGAGTATTCAAACTGGATAAAGTCGAGGGTCGGCACGATGGGCGACAGACCGATCTTACTCTACCAAAGTCTCCAAGTGGCGCCACTGTTTTTGTATGGCCACTACCAGAAAGCTGCCGAGCTCTCACGCGAATGCTTTGATAACCTAGACACGGTCTGGTCAGCAAGAAACACACGATTCACGATGCTATTTTACGGACTATCCCTCAGTGGTCTCATTTGGCAAAAGGCCCAGGATCCATGCGTACCTGATAAACGGTCGCTTCCCGCCGAAATTGTCGAAGTTCTGAAAGATCTTACGATGCTGCGAAAGAAAATCGTTGAGTGGCAGGCAATTAACGATGTTAATTACTTGTCGTGGTCAACTCTGTTGGACGCGCAGATAGCAGAATTAGAGGGAGATCACGGCTCCACGATAAGCTTTTACGAGGCATCTCTAGACCACTCTGCCGTCCATGGGTTCGTTCTCGAAGAAGCTCTTGGTAATTATCTGTTGGCTGGATATTTCCTCCGCCGTACGGCTCGCAGATCAGCCAAATCAGCGCTCCGCGAAGCTATGAGCCTTTTCGGCCAGATTGGTGCAGTCGGTGTTGTCCAGCATATCGAAACAGAGCACAGCCTGCTTATCCAAGGTCCCACGGGTAGCTTGCGAAGGACAGAAGTAGGCACACAAACGGATTTTGCGGGTGACTCAGCAACGGTGCAATTCGATGCCCTAGAAAACAGCGGAACTGAGGATCGCCTACATCCCACTGGATCCCCTGCGGAAACTAAGGGTGACCGGATTGATGCGTGGCAATTGGGCTCTGCGCACGACGATTCTGGATCTGGGGTGCCAGCATTGGATATGTTGGATCTTAGTTCTATTCTCAAGAGTTCGCAAGTCATATCATCGGTATTGCAAGTGGACCAGCTGCTGAAAACCATGTGCGAAATTATCTTGAACAACTGCGGTGGTCTGGCATCTTTGGCTGCAATTATAGTGGAAGATGACGACTCTTCGGGCTGGAGTATCGCCGCGAGTGGCGATCCCGAGAATGGTGCCGTTGCTCATATGCCTGGACTCCCGTTAATCGAGACGCCACTTGTGGCTTCGAGTGTCATTCTCTACTGCACAAGGTTCCAGGAAACTGTTTTCCTAACCGATATCATCCATGACGAGAGATTCAGCAACGTTGCTGATGACTGGTGGATAAAGAATCCCCTGGGGAAGTCAGTGATTGCGATCCCGATCTCTCACGGCGTGAAACCGCTCCTAGGCGTTCTTTATCTGGAAGGGCAACCAAACGCTTTTACAGACCGCAATCTTACCGTTTTGCAGTTACTAGTCAACCAGATTGGTATATCCTACTCGAATGCCCTGACCTTGAAGGCAATCGAAAAGGTCTCTGCTTCGAATATATCGATGGTTGAGTCGCAGAAGCGCGCTCTTGCCAAGGCAAAGGAGGCAGAGATCAAGTCTCGACGAGCCGAGTCCGAAGCTATTCGGAATGTCAAACTTGCCGAAGAAGCTGCAAAGGCAAAATCTATTTTCCTCGCAAATGTTTCTCACGAGTTGCGAACTCCACTTAATGGTGTGATTGGCAATTCCGAGCTTCTCAAGGACTCAGATCTAAGGAAGGAGCAAGCTGAGATGGCCGATTCTATTCGGGTTTCGGCTGACTTGTTGCTGACCGTGATCAATGATATACTTGACTTCTCCAAGATGGAAGCCGACAAGATGAAGCTCTTCATTGTAGCCTTCAATGCTGATGAAATGTTACGAGAGGTTGTCCGGTCTGTTTCTTACAGCAACAGAGACAAGAGAAGCTCTCGCGAGGTGGAGATATTGCAGGATATCAACCTCCCTCAGGCACTCATTTATGGTGACCCCGTCAGGCTTCACCAAGTTATTGGTAACTTGATTGGCAACAGCTTGAAGTTCACGGAGAGTGGGTCCATAACTGTAGGCGCTCGAATGGATAGCGAGTCTGCAGACGACATACAGCTCACATTCTGGGTGAGAGATACTGGCATCGGCATTCCCCCGTCACAGCTTGCAAAGCTATTCAAGCCTTTCAGTCAGGCAGACGCCAGCACGGCTCGCAAATACGGCGGTAGCGGTTTAGGCCTCAGTATTTGCAAATCGTTGATCGAATCAATGATGAGGGGTATGATAAAGCTCGAAAGTACGGAAGGTGTTGGAACGACCGTCTGGTTCACCGTCACGTTTCCCAAGGCCAATCCGGACGCTACAGCAGGAGATAGCCAGACCGGCTCGGATCAACGCGACCCTATGTCGAAGTACAAGGAGCCTGAAGAGCGCCGTTCGCACCTGCCGTACGCCGACTTCAGTGATATATCTCGCGATGACCTCAGGATATGCATCGCGGAAGATAACCCGATCAATCAGAAGATTGCCATTCAATTCGTGCAGAAACTCGGGTTTAAACACGTCGATGCCTACGATAATGGCCTAGCAGCTGTCGAAGGGCTACGACAGAAGGCGAGAGAAGGCGTGCCGTACCATCTGGTTCTAATGGATGTGCAGATGCCAGTGCTGGATGGTTACGAGGCAACGAAACTTTTACGAAGAGATCCAAATGATGCGGTCAGAGCGGTTCTGGTGATCGCCATGACTGCGTCGGCAATTCAAGGCGATAGGGAAAAGTGTTTGGCGTCTGGTATGAACGATTACTTGGCCAAACCAGTGCGCGTACACATACTGAAGAAGAAGCTGGAGCAATACCTTCGACAGGTAAGAACCCCAAGAATCATCCCAATCCATTCTGTGTGCTAATAGACTTATCAGGATCCTATGCCTCTACCAAATCTTCAAGCAGAAGCCAACAAAGTCACCGCCGAAGTAATGAATGCGCACAGTACATTTGTGCCGCCTGCTGCAGCGGCACCACCACTGTCTCCAGGCCTCCGCCGACAAAGCCAGAACATGGCAACCCCGTCCGATACGTCTTGAAATATGCCTTACATGCATACGATCACCAACAAGAAAATTTTACCCAGATACAAGCCACACTCATAAACGCCAAAAGGACCACTAGGTCATGGGGGAACTAGCCAAGACCAGGTTCACGGTGGAAACGAATAACGGCGACACAGCCACCTAGTCGCCATTACTGGCTGAAATTCGACCAGTAGCCATATCAAACCAACCTCTACAACATTGACCAGCCAAGGAAAGACCAGGGTGGCGTTCTATCATCCCACCCAGACAGCCTACAATCTTGGATTCATCAACTCTATCGCCAGATCTTACATATCTACTTTTGCACAAACTTTTGCCCCACAAACTTTTGCACGAGCGCAGGCGTTTAATTCCCCGTTTTTATTTTTTTGTTGTGTTGCCATTTTTTGGGAAGGGGGGCCACGCTCAAAGTGGCGAGCATGAGAGGGGGAGATGACGCCAACGCCGTCTTTTTTATATGATGTATGTATTTTTTTGATATTTGCGAAAGAAAGATACATAAACAACGTCACGGAGACCGGGGAAGGGGGTGGTATATAGGGAGGATGGATGAAAGGCATATAGGGGCGAGATTAGCAACTCACGTTTGGGGGCGTGAGTTGCTGAGAGATGGAGGGAATAGATATGATATTCTCCAATTTGCAGATATTTGTGAAATGGTTATGTGACTAAATATTTGAGGTTCACTTCCTATGGAGACGCTTCTGTTTTCATTATATTTTGATTTCATGTAAATATACCAAGTCGCCCATTAAAACCCAGGCCTAACTCCAACCAAAATAACCATAAATCTCACACCCTCCCAAAGCTGCCAGCAGTATATCCAATCTATTACCCAATCCCCCATCCCAAATACAGCCATCTCACCCAGTCTCTAAGCCAATGGAAAACGGCGGAGGGCGCAGAGGGCGTACAGTCACGTTGAGTGGAGTATGTAAGCTGCGACGACGTGGTGAAGTGGGTTCGGGGGAATGTTCAAAGGAGAAGGACCAGTGAACTTGGAGGTTCCTACCAAGTGGAGTATGGGCTACAATAGGCTATGTACGGGATTAGTTAGGTTGAGAATGAGGATGAGTAGAGGTTCAGAAAAGGGCGTGCCAAGACATAACGAAAGGGAAAAGTGATAACGTTATGGTGTTGTACGTAACTTGCTTGATGAGTAAGGCACTAAAGTCTAATAATTATCCCATCTCCATACGATCTTGCCAATCGACGTCCAGGGATGCGGCGGGAAGGGTACGTACTGTCGACAGTGCAATTCTATCCCGACTACATCACTCTCATTCTCATCCTCACCACTCAACGCTCACCACTCTCGACTCAACACTCATATCTCTCCACAAGCCATTGCATCTTACTCAGCGAAGAGTTTGCAAACCTAAAGACTAAACCCAACAGTAAACCTAAACAGTAAAGGTAATCTGGTCTCTATTTTGGGAGATCTGTAACGTTTCAGATGAGACCACATTCCTTAAACAAACCCGCGCTCTCTAAGTCCGCTCATTAGACACCATCCACGGCTACAACGAATACTCATCCACCGTCATCTGCACCAGTAGTGCATCTCTAACCGTCGCGATTTCCTCAAACCATTTCATATCCGTCTGGTGCCCAGCTCTGAGCCGCTCCTGCTCTGCTTCCAGCCTCGCATTAATCTTATCACTCTGTTGGTCGTGCCTTGCCTCTCGCGCCAATTGGTGCATCTTCACCGTTCTTCTTGCCGCTCCTCTGTGCGCTACATTGATGAGATGCTCAGTAGGTTCCTTGCCTTGTCGTTTGAAGAATTCTATGTATCTTGCCGTTTCTTCCTTTACTCTTGTGAGTTCTGCAGGGCTCTTGAGAATGCTGGGTCTTAATTCGTGTGCTATTTGTTCATCAATTGCTTTTGACATATCCACCTTTTTACCAGCTCCATTCATCATTTCATCAGTAAGTTCCATGCCGGCTCGTCTGAGGAGTATTAAATACTCACCCACCATGCCATCCTTTTCCTCCAGAGACAGCGCATGGAAATAATCGTCGATGTGAGCTAACTCCTCTTTAGCCGCATCTGCAAGCGCCTCATTCTCCGTCTCGAAGCGATCAAAATTCGCAATCTGTTGGATAGAATGTACAAGGTCCATCTCTTCACGCAGCCTCTGTAATTTGACTTCGAAATCCCGGGAACGGTCCTGCTCAGCCTCTCGCTCGGCCACCACGGCAAATGCCCTCTCTTCCGCAGCTCTCTGTGCTGGAGTTCTCTCCTCAAAATTCTCCAACAGGTTCAGAGTCTCTCGAAGTTCGTTGGCATGCTCGGTCTGATCGGCTCGTACCTCCCTGTCCAGCGCCGCATAGGCCGCCTGCCTAATTTGAGCCTGGGATGCTGCGGTTTCTCTCCGCCAGTCGGCAGAGATCAAGTATGCCTCTAGCTCGATCTCAGTACATGTACAAGTCTTCCATTTGAGGCCACATGTATAGCAGAACTGCGCCTTGCAATTACAGGTCATGTGACTGCACCCCTGAGCATGCTCGACGAGGGCATTGCATTTGTAGCAGCGGCGCCAGCCTGCGTTGAGGGCACATTGTATGGTCTCTCTCAGGCTGGGGTCCTCAGGACATTCCCCATTAGAATGGTAAGAGCCCCGGCATATCATGCAGGTTTTGTGGCGGCATCGGGCACAACGTGCCAGGATTAGGGGTTTGTCAATTTTGTGATGCGGAATCCAGGAGCCGCATGAAGGTTTAGAGCAGTAAACTCGATCTTCAATTGCGATAGAGCGTTCTTCGAGCATGGTTTCGTATCGTGTCTTTAGCTTGCCATGGAGGTTGCTCATAATCAATGATCTTGGGATCACATTCAGACAACATTTGGGTGGCCAAGAGGTCTCTGTTGAAATTGATGTCCTGGCAATTTGTTAGTTAAAAGCACAGTGTTATTACTGAAGGAACCTACTCAATAAGAAGGGTGAAGCACGGGCTGCAGTAAGCATGGCACGTCAAAGGCACCATCTCTTGAACACAAAAATCATCCATGCATGATACGCATTCCCTGATAATTGTCAGCTTGGGTTCCCTAGTGTTGATAACGGACATACCCCGTTTGTGAGGTAGACTCCTTAGTACGCCTAGACAAGATCCCCCGGCCTGATCGACCCCCAGGCTTAAACACGGTCGTCACATATGGCCGGAGAAGACGAAGGCTCCATTTACGTGACGACGAACCCCCTGTATCCGCTGGTGGGCACCCCGCAGATGTGGGAGAACCCTTCATAGCCGCTGGTGGTCTTGCCGCGGCCGCTGAAGAAGACTCCGCATATGCCGGGGGGCTCTTCGGGGACACTGATCGACTCTTTTGGAACGCTGGTGGTTCTTCTCGGGCTGCAAACGAAACCTCTTCGCGAACTGGCGGACTCACCATAGGAGCTGCGGGGGTTTTGGCTGGCGCTACTTGTTTCCCTGGAGCCGATGTAGATATGTACCCCTGGGTCTGGAGAGGTGGTGCAACGACACTCGGTTGAGAGTCCTGAATCCAATCAGTATATATATGGCACAAAGTATTCTTCCTAAACTTACTACATTTGGCACATTCTCTGGGGATTCTTGAGTGTTTTTCCCCTTTCCCTTTGACATGTTTGCTGGGGCGCCAACATTTCCTCGGTGTCCTGGGGAGTTTTCTACAGGGAGTTCCCGTTCCGAGCCTTGCCTCAATATTGCAAGCAGATGCCGTTCCTGTTGTTGCTGGAAACTATTTTCTACGGCGGCAACTCGTTGTCGTTCCAGACGGCTCCTCTCTTCTGCAAGTTGTTGTTGCCGTTCTAGGCGAGCTTCGTATTCAAACAAGGCATGTAGTTGCTCCATGGAACTTTCCAGTATACTTTCGATCTCATGCGAGGTTTCAGGTGGACTGTGTAACAGCTCTGGAGGCGGAGGAGAGATTTTCCACCTCTGGCCAGGCAAATTGGAAATTGAGAGATTGTCACTCATCGTGTTCTCTTCCGTTCTTGCAAATGTTTCAAGGACTGTCTTGTGTTATATTGTAGAGCCGCACACGTCGGAAATGCCTTGTAATGAACAGGCTTGTTAATAAATTGAGACGCACCCCTGATGATTTCTGATGAAAGCTGCTTTGTGTATGGTAACAAGAATGAGGGGTGGTGAGCGACAGTGTGTAAGTGTAAGATGTGAGAAAAATAACGATTGTGATATTGTTTGTGTTGTTGAAAAGAAAGCAAGTCAAACATGATAACCTGACCCAATAAATGCGCAGACAAAGAGAGGCAAGGCTCGCACGATAATTTCACAATGTGTAGTGTCTATAGCTCCTGGTCAAACGAATACTAGTAGGTCTGGAGGTCAGGGCAGACAAGGCTAGCCATGTCATCCCACAAGATGAGGCCAACACCCCATTATCTGCACTATTCAGCTGACTGGAGCTAAGCACAAGGCAGATCAGGTCAGACATGTACACCATCCCCACAGGCTGTGCAGCCTACCCTTTGATAGTGTTGTGGCTGAACCTTGAACCTTTGCAGAGCCACGTCCCCGACCGTTGCACTAAGACTTGATATCTAGACATCTTCGGCCTCAAGCACCGCAGCGATATGTGTATTAGACCATCTGTAAACTGCACAACACGTGGCTATCTGTTCTTCGCGGGTGTTTTGGCTTCACTTTTGAGAATCCGCGCACATTTCAAGATTACTCCGTAATCGCATCGAGCTTCTGGATACATCCCCACCAAAAACCTGAATATCTTGAGCCTCATTTTCTGAATCTGCGCACTTTTGGTTCCATTAGCGCCATATCTGCGCCATATCTGCGCCATATTAATCGTATCGAGCTTCTAGATACATTAATTACTACACAACTTTTAAATATCTTGAGCTTCATTTTTGAGAACCTACGTACTTCTATAGCTTCACTTTCCGAATCCGCGCACTTTTGGCTCTAGTAGCGCCAATCTGCGCAAAATTAATCGCATCGAGCCTCTGGATAAATCACCACCAAAATCCTGAATATCTTAAGCCTCATTCTTTAAATCTACGCACTTTTGGTTCTATTATGTCACGGTCAGGAGCCGAACCCCTTTTCCTGTCACGTCGACAGGAAGGGGCTCCGGCTGAGAATGCCAAGGGTAGCCAAGGCCTTGGCTCGACGAGAACACGCACAAGAGTATAAGTAGGGAGGAGCTGGCTTCGATAGGAAGCCAGCGGCTAGTTTTTAACAACCACCTACAAATGGAGTACGATTCCCTGCTGAACCCCGTGCTGCTTACCTGTCTTGAATCACCAAGTGATATGACTCTCACAATTAGCACCATATATTTGTACGCAAGGTTGATCGCATATTACTACGTACGCACTTCTAGCGCATTTAGCTTCATTTTCTGAATCCGCGCACTTTTAGCTCTAGTAGCGCCAATCTGCGCAAGAATGATCGCATCGAGCTTGTAAACACCTCACCACCTAAATTTTAAATATCTTGAGCTTCACTTTTGAAGAATCCGCGCACTAGCGCTAATGTATGGAAAACCGTTATTTCAAAGTAATTAAGAATTCAACTTCATTCCTAGTGTCTACAAACCACTTGACTACCAACAGTGACTATACGCTACTCTACCCCCCCCCCCCGATCACTGTCCCACACTATCCCCCCTCAGTTCTTAAAGGTTGGCGCTACATATGCAGAGGCCCCTGAGATAGCGCGGAATCTAAGCCACTGGGAATCATGAGGCGTATGGGGCAGGAGAGCACCCAGATTCTACTAGGCACCCACACGTGACAAGGTGAGAAACCACAGCTAGGCTACCACAGCTAGGCTATCACAGCAGTCGTTCGATTCCCTGAAACTACTGGCAATAGTGACAAAGCAGTGAAGGGTGGTGCGCCAACTAGTCAACAGAGTTTTGCGTCTAGGAAGGTCCTGGTCAAAGGGAGGCACCGCTAATTAATACAGCTACAGCTACAACGTTTGCTCTGGGCCCGTGTATAAATGAGATTAGACCAGGAGGCCAGGAACACGACAGTCTGGCCAGGAAGGGCCGGGGAGGACAAGAAAGGGGCGTAATATTGCCCGTATGTTTATTATCTATCTGCCAAAACGCATCTGCGCATTTGCGTAATTATACAAGGCGCGGAGAAACACTTGGTATCCAACTCCTTGGTTATCCTGCACATTGTAGATTTCGCTGAGGCTGATCTGCCACGGTGGGTAGCCGTCGAGTTCAATCGTTGGTCCGAACAAAATGAGGAGTTCCGGTCCGCTCATGACACTCTCGGAAAGCTCGGCATCAACCAAGTCGACGGTGATATCCTTCGGTGTGATCTTTGATCGTTGAGACATCTCGGTAAGAGTCTTGGTCAAGTCGACAATGGAGTCTTCGCCGTCCTCTTCGGAGATCAAGAGTACCGAGAGTTGACCTAGGGATACCGGGACATCGACATCGCTTGGTGGCGTAGTCGGGGAGGACTCCATGGATGGAATGTGCGGCGCACGGATAGACAGTGCAGGGTGTTGGCGACCGAAATACGACGAAAGCTTTCGAGTGACGGCTCTGTGGGTTGTTGGAATGTATCCTTTTAGGACGCCTAAGGGAGTTAGAAACTGGAATGTAGCATGTGGAGGCAATACATACCTGTCCTCTCGTAGATTGAGAGCATGGGAATTCCGACACATGCGCACCACGCGCAAACCTCAGCCACTTCATCCAAGAGAGTCTCAAGCGCAGCACCCCCCTTTCCTTCCTCAAGCTTCAGTATCACACTCAAGTGTTCCGGTAATCTCTTCAGCCCCTTCACATCCTTCTGAATGAGCGCAGGCGTCCGGTGGTGGTAGTAGAGAACAGCGAAGGTTCGATCCCTGACAGTATGATATGCTTGTCGAAGCCGTATGTATATAGAGAAAATAGTATGTATAATTGCAAACACGAGGACATGTAGTTGATTTTTGAGGAACTTCCGCACGCCAATTATCGGTCTCGGCTGGTTACGAAGCGTTCGTTCATCTGACTCCCCGTTGCCCGACTTTGATCGTGAAGGTGGCTCCGGAAGATATGGCTGGCTTCATGTTAGAACTGGAATTCGCATTGCTGACAGCGTGGTGACTTACAGCTATGAGTTTCTCTCGTTCCGACGGCGTTAACAGATTATGGTTACTCTTGGCATCTTTCCGGTAGATCTTCAGTTCTCTTGTTGCTTGAGACATCTGGGAGTCTTTGGAATGTCGTTATAGTCGAACTAGGCGGCTGGTGGTACAATTATAATACAACGCAAGGCCCGGCCGGTCAACGAACTCCTCGCATAGAAAGATGACGTCCCCCAAACTGGATCGCAGCGTCGGTTGCTTCGCGTGCCTATCTTTGCAGGAGGGCGAATTTGACGACAACGTATGTACAGTGTGGCTCGGTGTGGAACCCGGCAGTCAAGACAGGCGTATATACGGAGGCTGAGGTACGTCGGGCTTCATAAAAAAATAAATCCGAACCCTGTGATCTTCTTCACTACGCAAGCGTCCATTATTTATTGCGGTTGACATCAGCGGTACGTGCCGAGAATTGCTAGGCTGTTTTGGGTCGAGATAGCTCGAGATTGGGGTTCCGCATGGTTTCATGCCCAGGCCATGGACGATAGACGATAGACGATAAACACAAATACCAGGAAACAAGTGACCCTTCAGAATCACTGGTGATTCCGAAACCCTAGCCAATGCTCAGGGTCGAACAACTGCTTGTGGGATCCTGAAGCTACTGAGCTTCTCCGGGTCCAATGGCGGGAGCCCCTCCAACTGGCAGGTCCATATTCCCACGCGGGCCCAACTTCAACTTGGAGACCTTTTCGGACACAAACTTTATTGTAAAAGATTTTGTTGAGAGCCTCTCGGAGAGCACGATACCGATTAACCGGCGCTCTGCACCAGCATCACAGCAAGCTTTCGATCCCAAGCCTCTAATCCGCGCGTTCGAGGGTACGTGTTCCTTATAGCCAGCTGTGCATTGGCTGAGCCTGACACTGATATGTATAGGCGCATTATCGCAGCTTGCGACCCTATCGGACGATCTAGAAGAGCGCGAGACAGAGCTCCAAACAGCGGTGCGACGAGCAGAAATCGAACATGAGAAAACGCTGGACAGCCTTGGGAGGAAACTGGATCAATCTATAAACTCGTACGAAAAACTCGAGGGATCCTTAAACCAAGGAGGGGTACAAGAGAGCGAACGGAACAGTCAAACAGATGCAGGAGGGAATGTTGCCGTCCAACTCGGCGAGAAGCTAGAGGATTTGGACAAGCAGCGAAGGCGTGCATTGGACGCCCAGTTCTTGATACAGTGCTGGCTCGAGGTGAGCGACACTGGCGAGCTTACATCTTTGGAGGAGGTACGAAGACAAGGAAATGGAGAAGGCAAAGTCCGATGCGCCGTTATTGCCAGACAACTCATGAGAATCAGCCAAAGGCTTGATCCGAAATCTTGGCGACAAGCAAACGCTGGAAAGAAATCGAAGGTGTCCGTGGATGAGCCTGAAGAGCACGGCGGATACAACACGAAAGAGCTGATAGAGAAGTTCTCGGAAACCTTAGAGAAGGACCTTCTCACACAGTTTGACGTAAGTTATCGAAAGCAGAACTACGACAATATGATGGAATGCGCCAAAGTGCTACGGGACTTCAATGGCGGTTCAAGTGTCGTTGCTTTGTTTGTCAATCAACATCAGTTCTTTATCGATAGGAACCAACTAATTACAGAAGAGGTGGTAACTGATGGCGACACGTGGGAACGGCTCGCAGATCCAGACGTAGAACCCCCGGGTGTTGAACCTAGCTTGCAGTCTCTTGTTGATGAAGTCAAAATTGTTATGCAGGAGGAATCATTCATCATGAAGCGCGCATTCCCATATTATGATGTCGTGCTTGCAAAATTTACTCAAAGAGTGTTCCAGCAATCTATACAACAAAGGCTGGAAATGGTATTGGAGAATGCGGACACCATCTCATCTCTGGCATTCCTACGGTCACTGCATGCCTCAAGAGCCTATATCAACAGCCTTGTGGAAGATTTAAAATCACACGGCCTTACTGAGCACCCTGATTCTTGCTCTGCGGCAACAACACTGGTGCTGGAGCAACAGGTTGATGAGCTCTTCATCCCCTACCTTGTTGGCTCATCATACATCGATCGAGAATGTCAGAGTCTGGAGGAACTTTACTCCTCGTTGTTGTTCAAATTCACCATATACCACTCCAGGCGGAAGAAGACTCCCACCGGGTTCATGGCATCATTGGCCCAGCAGGGTACCCAGTTACTGGCGACCGCCAAAGACGCCTATATTGACCGACTCGACTCATCCGAGCTCACGCCAACCCAGAAAGCCATGATGTTGAGAGTCGCCGGCTTAAAGGGAAATGAAAACAAGAATGAAATTGAAGTCTCGGAGGAGGATGGGGTTCTGAGCATTCCCAATGCAAAGCGCATGCTAAAGTGGCTGGCGGAAGGCGTTCGAAGAGCTCTTGAGCTTAGTGGCGGCAGCGATACCCCGAAGGATGTCTCTGTTCTTCTGAGCATGCTCTTGACGAGCATGGGCCAGGTGTACGTGGAAACCGCTTTGGACGCTGCGAACGACCTAGGGTTGGCACAGGAATCGTCCAAGGTAGAACCTGACCTTGCATATTTCCCAGCATTACGACAAGCAATCACTATTACAAACTTGATGAACCGATTCATTAACACGGTTCTCATCCGTCTCGCTGAAACAAACACGACTGTACGTCGTGACATGGAAAGCAAGACAAAAGAGGCCGTGAAGCGTATGGAAGACAAGACAAGTGCCATCATCCAAAAGACGATTGATGTCGTTGCTAGTTGGGTCACCAAGGTTCTCGCTGGCCAAAAGAAATTAGACTTCCGCCCTCGGGATGCTGACCTCGATATCGGCCGTGGCGGAACCAGTTATCTCGAGCAGCTGCAAACCCCTACGTGCGCAGCTATCTGCACATTTCTTACCAAGACCAACCATGTCGCGGCTCAGGCTCTTGACGGCCAGAACTTCGAGATTTTCAACTCCGAGCTCGCCATCTGTATTCGCGATCTCCTCTTTGAACATTTCAAGAAGTTCCAGGTTAACGCCACAGGCGGACTGATGGTAACCAAGGACATGTCCAAGTATACTTCTACTCTGAAGGAGTGGCGATTGAAGAAGGATGTCGAGAGTAGTTTGGACATTCTAAGCGACATAGGTAGCATATTCATTATCGGCTCAGAGGCTCTCAGGGAGAGGTCGAAGAACATCCAAACAGGGCCTATGAACAAGGGCCTTGATAAGCCGGATTTCCGGGCCTTTGTGAGCAAGAGGGATGATGCGAATAGTCTTGGCATTCAAAAGGTGCTCGCCGGTCTATAGATTGGCTTATGATGGGTGGCGTTTGGATAGGACTGGGGCCACGGTTGGGGGTGCATGGCGCACTGGACACGAGAAAAATGATCGGTTTAACCATTTGTATAAAACACATGTTATAGTTGAGATTGAACTTCCTTTCGATCCTATCTGAATGCCCGATGTTGTACAGTCCTGCCATTTCTAGTTTCCCCATACGCCAATTGTAGTTCCCATTGCTATGTATATTACACTATGCCGCTGCATCCGTTTCGTTGTACACTTGATTCTGTGAGCTTACGGCAGGTTGAAGCCGAACCCTGCCATGCAGCTCTTGTACTTGTCGACCGTGCTAGCGCAGTCCTTTTGGGGGTCGTTGGACTTGCTGAAGAGCATGCACTCGTCACGGACGGCCTTCTCCTCTTTGCATACGCAGCATGGCTATGGAATATTAGCCCTGTCGGCGGTTATGGGGGATAAGGTGAGCTTCATACCTTCGGCTTGCTTTCGGACTTGGGTGGCGCCGCGATGGTCGCGCTGGATGCAGATGCTTTTCAACAGTCAATAATCATACTTCCAAAGGCAATTGATCGGACTTACAAAGCTGGATTGATGCTGAAGACATTGTGACTTTCTATTTCTTGATAGTAAAGGTATGTTGATATGAACAAGTTTTATGGAGGCATTGGTTAATTTGTCAGCCTGGTCACTGGTAGCCTCGGGGCGTTTCCTCGGTGCTGGAAAAACGTTTATCCCCGAATTGGGCACTTGTCATTAAAGTTGTGCCCCATCAAGATACGCTACCCCACCAACCAAAACTACCCCCCTTTGCAAGTCAACAGACCGACTTTTTCCTAAACCTCATAACACTTTCAAGAGCGCGAGACTTATTCCTGTCCTAACGCACATCCTTTTGAATAACGCGAACAATGGCGAACGCAACCAAGGTTTTCTCTCTCGAGGGCAAGGGCATCAAGTTCAACACCGCCGAAGATGTAGAACCTCACATCAAAGCTCTCCGCGAGATGGAAGACGTGGAGGAGGTGCGCCTTCAAGGCAACACCGTCGGAATCGAAGCAGCTGCCGCCTTTGCCGACGTCCTCCGCACCAAGAAGACTATCCAAGTAAGTCCTCCCTCCACCCTCCTTCTCCCACCAAACCAGACCCCTAACACAACCCCAACAGGTCGCCATTTTCGCCGATATCTTCACCGGCCGCCTCCTCTCTGAGATCCCCACCGCCCTCTCCTCCCTGCTCACCTCCCTCCTCGAGCTTCCCAACCTCCACACCGTAAACCTCAACGACAACGCCTTCGGCCTGAACATGCAAGCGCCCCTCGTCGCCTTCCTCTCCTCGCACACCCCCCTTCGCCACCTGTACCTCAACAACAACGGCCTCGGCCCCCACGCCGGCATCATGGTCGCCGACGCCCTGTCCGAGCTGCACGCCAAGAAGGCCGCCGCACGCGCGGCAGGCACCGATGTCCCAGACCTCGAGACCGTGATCTGTGGCCGCAACAGGCTTGAGAGCGGCTCTATGCTCGCGTGGGCCAAGGCGTTCAGCTTGCACACGGGCGTGCGCGAGGTCAAGATGGTGCAGAATGGGATCCGAACTGAGGGGACTGTGCACCTGATTTCCGACGGCTTGCGCCACGCTAAGGGCCTCCGTGTGCTTGATCTGCAGGATAACCTTTTTACGATTCTGGGAGCGAGAGCGCTTGCCAAGGCGGTGAGGGGGTGGGAGGATATTGAGGAGATTGGGGCGAGTGATACGCTCTGGGGTGCTAGGGGAGGGGTGGTGTTGGCGCAGGCGTTGGCGGGGGGGAAGAATAAGAAGTTGCATACGTTGAGGATGCAGTATAATGATATTAATGCGAAGGGGCTGAAGGTGTTGACGGAGACAATTAAGTTGGCGCTGCCAGCGATGAAGAGGGTGGAGCTGAATGGGAATAAGTTCTCGGAGGATGATTTCGCGCTTCAGGAGCTGAGGGAGCTGCTGGAGGAGAGGAAGGAGAAGTTTGGGGGGGATGTGGTGGTTGAGGATGATTGGGGAATTGATGAGTTGGATGAGCTTGATAGTGATGAGGAGGAGGAGGAAGAAGAGGAGGAGGAGGAGGAGGCTGAGGAGAGGAGGGAGAAGCTGCTTGAGGAGCAAGATGAGGCCCAAGAAGAGCCGGTGATCCAGAAGAAGGATAAGGAGGTCGACGAGTTGGCGGAGGCGCTGGCTAAGAAAGTTGAGATCTAGACTTGCATCCGAAGATGAGAAGTAGATACAGGCATAAGATGAAGGGGTGCCGATGGCGTTGTATAAATGTGTTGGTTTGGCCAGGAGATGGGGCCTTTATTGCGTTTAGCGTAGATGAAATGCATATATCATAAAATTTAACAGACACGACCGCATCGGGAACTATAACTACTATTTTTGTGCCTGTGAATAAAGGCAGCAAACTAGTGACGTTGGCCAAGCATAATAGGAAAGAGGCAGCGTGGAAAAGGTAAAGTATGGTAGAAGATATTATTATATTCAAAGCACCAATCCCTCTATTTTAACCCCCCCTCCTTTTATACCTTCGCAAAAGCAACCTCAGCCGGTATCCTAAAACTCGCACAAAACATCCTCTTCAACGGCGCCACATCCCTCACATCATGCACCCTGACCCTCCCCTCCTTCACCTCCCCCACCGCCTCCTTCCTCTTCCTGGGATCCCCCTCCACCTTCTCCACCGCCCCCTCAAACTCCATCTTCACTCCCAGCATCTCACTCACGATCCCCGAGATCTCAATCCCCTCCTTAACATTATCCTCCGACTTCGTCGAGAAGCAGTGGACGTGCACCATCGGCAGCTTTGTGGCGGTGTGCGGCGCAAAGAGCGATTCGTGGCCGGCGTAGAGGCCGCGGAAGGCGGGGAGGAAGGTTATGGCTGTGGCGGGGAGGTTCATGACGAAGTGGGAGATTGTTTGTGGGATCTCGACCACGGTGGGTGGGATGGGGTGGGGGCGGACCTTCTGGGACCGCGACATGCGCGGCTGTTTGGAGGGGACGGAGACTTTGTTCTCTCCGGCCTTAGAAACCGCGAGCAGGTCCTGTGCGCACTGGTGGATGAATTTGTGGCCGTCTGTGTTAAAGGTGCGGATATACGGCGCGACTTTATTTAACTTCGTAGCGTCGCGCAGCGCAGCGATGCTAGCGGGGTTAAGGTCATTAGCCCAGACAAAGACGCCCTTCTTCGCAGCAGGGAGCGCGAACGGGCCCACGCCTGCCATGACGTCGCAGACCACGGAGCCGGGGTCGAAGATAGCAACGAGGCGGCGGTGCTCGGTGTTCAGCCGGCTGTTCCAGTAGACCTGCGAGTAGTCGAAGCGGAAGGTGCAGTCTTCTTCGCGGATCTTGACGTTGAGGTCGTCGACGCCGGCGAGGAGCTCGTAGCTGAAGGTGCGGAATTCGGATTTGTCCCCGACGTCGTCGATTTTGTTGATTACGGTGCGGATGGTGGGGTTCTTGTCGATAAGGACTTCGGCTATGAGGTTCTTGAAGGGGAGGTAGGCTTCGCGGATGTTGAGGTGGGCTGGGGGTGTGTTAGTGTTTGGTCTTGTAGGGAAAGGGGTAGGGGAACATACCGATGTGTCCGACTATGCTGAAGCCGACCGGGATTTCTTCTTGTGAGTCTTCCGGTAAGATGGATTTCATGATATCAACTAAACTCTGTCAGTACGCACCCCCTGCATGCCCCACGCCAACCCACGTACGGTAATTCCAGTAATTATAATCCAAAGTCAACTCATACGGCATGACACTCATCTCCTTCGCCTCCACAGCCTGCTTCAAGATAGCACTCCATGTCGTAGGATCCTCGGGCTTAACCTCCGGCCTAAGAAGCAAGCACTTCCCACCCTTCGCCGCAAGCGCTGGATCCGGGTCCTCTCTAACCGCAGAAACCCTATCCACCCTCAACAACTCCTTGCTCTTTTCTAGCTTCCCCCGCGACGGCGATATGAGTTTATGATCTGTTATCCGTGCCGCAGCAATGGGGAATGTCCGTGTGAAGAGGCTCCGATCCAGGACAGCGGCGGCGGATCGGACGATAGGGGGCCGGAACATGTCGTTTGCGCTGGCACTTTCGGCTGACTGCCGCCCATATTAGCCCTGGTCCCAGAAACGGTATTAAAAATACTTACCATTGTATTTATGAGGAGTAGATATTCGAGGCGCTGCGACAGGGCATCTTCAAGAAATTTGGCCTTGCGTTGAGCGAGGCTGACGCGCTAGTCGCGGGGCTGTGGAAATATTTCTTCAGCCTCGGGCTGGAGGCCACGACCGTGGACCGTGACAAGGGGTGAAACGACGTATCACTTTAACAGGACTTGGGGATGATGCATGCCTGTGCAGTGCTCCATCGTGGGGTACGGCGGTATACTAGAGAAGCGGATCCAAGCATGTAGGCATGTAGGGCTACAGGCTACAGTAGCATATTGGCGAGAGACAGACGGGATGGCGTCAACCTGCATCGTTACTATGTGGTGTATTTTAAGAGGTTCAGTCACCCACCTCATCAATACAAATCACAAAATCCAAATCACAACATCATCTGTGAAACCGGGAGCAATTCCAGTTAATTGATTTCTGAAACGAGAATCTCCCTCAATCCAACGGGTTGCTACTATCCCGACCGACCACTTCCTTCCCTACATGGGCCGGCTCAATAGTATGATACATCATGGCTCCGTCAGCTACCGAATAAACAGAAAACAAACAAAGTTTTAAATACATGAAGAGGTAAGTTTTTGCGCCACCATGCATGGAACAGCCCATCTAAAACTCCCAAACACAAACACCCAGAATGAAGGGCAGGTCCACACACGTCGCATCGTGCATGGGATGGGACGTGGACGCGAAGTGAGTCAGGAAGGTGAAACAACGGAAGGAAGATAAAATTTGCATCTTTAATGCGCGGCGCGTGAGAGAGCGCGTTTCCCTTTTGATTGATCATTTGAAGGCATGTCCGTTTATGTTCCAGCCAGATTATGGATTATATGGTACAAGAAGGTAGGCGTTATTGACGTGGTATATTTGCGAACAAGGCGTGGGTATCATGACCCGTCGAGGGCCGACAATGCGAGAACATATAACAAAAGTGTCGCCTTGGGGAGAAAGGAGTGTCTTGGTTCGTAGATAGTTGTGTGTGAGGCTCCCCGAGACTAGCTCATCACAGCCTTACTTTATGCCCGGTCAACTTGAACCAGATAACGGCGACAATCTCCTCCTTGAACAGCTCCCATGGGTTGCGGTTCAGCAGGTTGCTCAGTTCTCGGTAGTTGTACATCTCTCCCCAGCAATCGCGTCCCCACTCGCAGCCTGCCATGTTGACAAGGAAGTCACGGCCCTTTCGGTCGTAGTGAATTAGAGGATCGTTCCCGTGGCTATTGCAGGCGTCAGGCGGGAAGGAGTTTGCTTTGCGTTGTTCAATGAAAGCCATGTGCGGCCTGATCCACGGCTGAGAAGTGTACATGAACTCCAAGGCATCCTGTTCCTTGTGTTCCCATTCCATGTGCTTCTGCTCGTAGGCTACTGGGTCCCACCAGACGTCAAGCAGGCGGTCGGTCCATGCGCTGCGCTTGACGAAGAAGGAGCCGAGGTTAAAGCCACTGCAATCTTGCGGCACTATCAAGTTAATAGACTTGGCCTTTCCGTCGCCGACAGGAGACAATGACTTCTCGTCCAGGTATTTATCGGTGAAGGGGTGGCTGATGTTGAGCGGGTTGTAGTGGTTAATATCTCTGTACGTGTTGGCCGCAAGATTGTTGAAGATGTGGGACTGGAGGGAGTAGGATGGCTCCATAATGAACGTATTCAGGTCCAGCCACCAGAACCTATATCTGTCAGTAAGTCAACGCTGCGTAATATCTGGATATCACCCACCATTCAGCATCAGGGTACTTTGTCAAGCAATTCCTGATGGTGTCCACCTTCTCCCAGCTCTCTCGCCATTCATGTGCATATCGTTTCTTCGTGCTCATATCCACAATCTCCAGGTCATAACCCCATCTCGCCGCGTATCTCCGCTTGTTTCGTACGCTGTCTCGTTCAATCGCCCATTCGCGAGGGCCTTTCCATTCCATTACTCCTCCTCCTTGGTTTGCTGCCAATATAATGACGAACTTCTTACCGCCTCCCAGTAAAGGCGCTCTACGCCAGTAGTAATGCAACGCTGTGTAACCGTCAGTAATCGCCAGCTCCGCTAGTTTTCACTATAACTTACGAGTCGTATAAAAGAGAATCGTTGCGAAGATCAGTCCAAAGACGATCAAAAAGCGAAGTCTGAACTTCTGAAATGTGTTTATAGACAAGTTTGCCAATCGGCCGAGTTTGCTGCTTCTGTTCGGCATCCACCGACCACGGCCCAGCTTCTCCTTCTCAGCGTACTTCGAATCGTCCGGGTTGATCACGAATTTCGGCAAGCTGGTCGAGATGTTGCGCATGTGTCTGCTGAAGAAGCCATTGTTCTGTGTCGAGAAGGAGGGATAGCCGCCATTGACCTTTGAGCTCTTTTTCCTTGCGCCATCCCACGTCACGCTGTTAGCGTTCGCATTCGCCCCCCGCAGTCCATTGGCAGGGCTTGCCCGCCCGCTCGTGTCGACATAATTCGTCGTGAGCCCTGGGCTGGACCACCCGCCGTCCTCGTTGGGAGACGGCGACCGTGAGAGCGACATGGAGGGATTGGGTGTGCCTGCTCATGTTTGTTAGCGACAGCTTCTGGGGAAATTGTTTGTTGTCGCTGGGGGTGGGAGTTGACGTGCTTGGGATGGGAGAGAGAGAAGAGCCTCCGCCGCGCCCTCGTGCTGAAGCGTCGTTCGCGTCCTGGACGTTGAGGGTCTGTGGAATGTGAGGAATGCCAGCAGCAGCTGATGATCTCCGTCGCCGATGTGAGAAAGATGAAACCTGCGACGAGGACGACGTCGAGACGGGAGTGGAGGTAGCCAGAGCGAAGGCTGAGAGATGCACCAGAGGGTCGGGGACCGTCTGGTGGTTGTCGCTGTGGCTGATGGGATAGTATGTAGTGCTCACAGCACGACACAAAAGATAAGTGACTACGTCGCCTTGTACTTGGGGGACGTCGAGTATGGGGGCAGCAGGGGTGTAGGTTCCGGTCGATAGAAGCCGTGTGTCGTCGACGTACAGTATGTACAATTGGCGCGGAGTTTGCAGTAGTGATGTCTCTGGTGTGTCTAGCGAAACTTATGATTGTGTTCAGTGAGATAAGAGTTAGGGTATAATGTTGAAAGCGGAGGAAGAAAAAGGGCTTTCGAGGCTGTATATGTCTATCTCCTCTTTTTCCCACTTCAGATACTCTTCCAGTACGAGAAGAGGAGAGAGTATTATAGAGTAGTACTATAGTATCGTAATCGTCGTAAGGGGTTAGAAGTGACAGTGAGTGGCCAGATGTTGATGGTCGATGGTGGGATTTTGGGTGCTGTGGGTGCTGTGGGTGCTGTGGGCGCTCCTGTGGCTGCTGTGGCTGCTGTGGCTTTCGTATTGGACCGCTGCAAGCCAAGTAGAGCTAGGACTACTCCAGTATGGGCGTTGGACGTTTGGGCGAGTAGTAATGGAGTTGTATGATTGATTACTACTACGGAGTATGGCGTAGTATATTTTTTCTCCCCTCAGTCCCCTCAACAAGCTTATCGGCAGAGCAACACGAGGGCACTGAAATTGCAAATGTTAAGTAAGTATACAGATGGGCAAAGGGATAAGGGAATCAAAGACGCAAGTTAAATGGAGAGCAGACGTACATACTCTATAGGGATTGAAAGTATCCGCTATCCACCTCACTAAAAAGACCAGCCAACACACCCCTCCCTACCTAGTGAACATCAACATTAGCATCTCCTTTTCTCTCGACACAACGAGATTACTTCTTGTTTCTTTTGTGGTCGGTTGGCAAAAGACCTAATCTAGCTTACATGGTTGTTTTCGCCGAGAGCGGCATTTTACTGCTAGACTAGGGGGAGCAACAGCCCAAATATTACGATAAGCGGAGGGAATGGCATCCCCTATTTCCACACAAACATCGCCCGTGGATGATGATGATGATGATGCTGATGATATTTATTTAAGTCCAGCGGGCCGCGGGTGTAACCCGCGGCCCCAAGACCTCCCGAAGGGTATGGGGACGTGCTAAGCTATGGGTTTATGTATAGAAGAGTATGACCTTAGAGAGCAGTTCTTGCGTGTTTGCGTGGCTGTAAGGCCCGTTTAAGCGCCTTCCCCGCTAGTTGGGATGGTGTTAGGTTTGCTAGTAGAGGGCGGTGCCTCGGAGGTTCTCCCGAAAGGGGGTGTATGCGGGACCGGTTGGTCTGATGTTATGAGCCAGCCCGTGGACCATGCCCGCCGGACTCCTTTCCCAGAGCAAAGGCTGTTTTGTGGACACGGCTGCTCTCATTTGGTACTTGGTATATCGATCGTCATTTCCTCCCCATGCATGGGTCCTAGAAATTGAAGCGCCACAAGTAGCTTCCTCTAATTTCCTCAAAGCCTTGCTTCTTTTTCAGCCCATGATGAAACGGGGGGTTAGTTGGCACATATCTGACTTGGAAACTGTAGTACTGTAGTGTTGTAAACTGTCAACAGTCGGACAAGTAGTGGACAAGTAGTGGACAAGTAGTGGACAAGTAGTGGACAAGTAGTGGACAAGTAGTGGACAAGTAGTGGACAAGTAGTGGACAAGCAGTGGACACGTCTTCCTCTGCGCTGTTGTTGGGTAGTGAAACGTTTCCAGCATAGTCATGTAACTAGTGCCTCTTGGTAAGACCAACCTGAGTCTTGGGTTCACCCACAGCCAAGGACCCGCAGTAGATACTTTACTCCATGAGTACGAGTGTGTGTCGGTGGGCTCGGTGGGACGGAAACGGGGGTGCGAGGGGAGCAACATGGCAAGGCGGCAAAAGGCTCGGCGAAGGGACAAGTCCGTCGTTCTTTCCTTTCTAGCCGCCTCACGCTTCCATGTGCACATCTAGTATACAAAAGGAAAGTGACGGCGCGTAACTGTATATTGCAGCACTGTAATGTTATATGGGTAGTGAGCCGGCAATGGCAGTAATTGACATTAGATCAATCGAACCGTTGTCTTGCAGAGCTTCTTCATCACGTGAGATACCACTCGTAACTGGCCACTCTCTACTCCATAACTTATATTGTGTACTCCGTATGATGAGCATGTAAGTCTTGCGACCAATCATGTATCTCCGTTGACTTGTCGTGGAGAATCGACAGCAGGCATGGGCTAAATGTTTGGGCGGCTAAGCCCCAACCATTGGCCGCTCTAACTTCCCGTTAAGCCTCATACAGATGGCCGGCGCGTATGTCGACCTCACCTCCTACAATCAGCGTCAAACACACGGCCTGACGGATGGTCCTTTGGCCACTGAGTACGCGGCGATTGTCGCTGTGTGCTATGGATAATGATAGAACAAGTATAGATCAGGTGGGACAAGTCGCTCTATTCCTTCTTTCGTGCATAGCTAGAGCGCAGACGCGTCCGAGCTATTTCAGAACTGCGACTCCGAACGCCATCGATTGCTCTTTCATCTCTCTCCTCTTAAAACTTCACTCTGGCCTGTGTTGCGTGGCCTTGTTACGAGTGTGCTCTTTCTTTCCTTTCCTTGTTTCTGTCTCTGTGTTGCCTCCTTCCGCCTGACCATGGCAAGCCTCAACAAACAATAGCCTGCGACAATAGAAACTCCTCCCCAATACCTTTCGTTTATTCGATAGCTTTGTTCTCTGGCACGACTCCCATCTGTCTGGAGACCCCGCTCTTTACTTCAATATATTCTCGACACTTTCAATCTTCGTTTCAGTCAGACTTGGACAGTCAATTAAAGCATCACTCATACCGATTCACACACATTCACTTCTATAACAACAAACACCACTAATACAACCTGTTTCTCTTACACTACCGAAGCCTTGACTTGCTCCGATAATAGCTTCGATAGCTACTCAGCCCGTTATTCAAACGATCATATAATTGGAATCCAAGGCCAATATGTCAAACACTTCACGATTACAAGTGGCTCAGCCAAAACCTGGTGCCAACTCACATGGCGACAACCAAAGCAACCCATTTGATACTCCCTTTGATGAGCTGGATTGGGATGAAAAATCTCTTGATGAGAACGGCCGTGATACGAATTTCCCAGACGACAAATCAGATGTATCTCGCATGACACAATGGCCGACATTTTCTAACTTACCCGCACCGCCGATGCCACAGAAGCCCCAAATGAAGACCCGAAAGTCAGTAAAGCGGTCCTCAGTAATCAAACCTACGAGGGAAAAGTCAAGACAGCGTCAAAAGAAACAGAACCAGATGGCCGGTATAAAGCTCAACACGGACGTCGCACGCCATCGAGCTCTCACTCCGGCAGTTCCACAACCAAAAACAAATGCGGCTGGTCCGTTACCTACGGCGGATGCTGGTCGGTTTGTGGATCTGGCTGCTCTTCAATCTCTTGAGAGTCAAGCGGCTCCTCCAAATCATGGGGGATTTTGGAAGAATCTCCTTGGCAATGCACCAAATCCTCCAGCAACAGTGCAACAAACCCCCAATCAGCAGGGCAGTTCTGACGATGACGCCACGGCAAAGGCTGATCCGATTCCTGGATTTGCCAACCGCAGGGCAAAGGACTTAAAGCCTTCTTCTCTGACTATGGAAGGAGACCTATCCCCGAATGATAGGCCCATAGTTATTGGAATATCGATACCTTCAGCCCCCCTGAAACAACATATCACAAGCCCACAGACTGCTGGCTCGGATACTTCGAACATTCTAAATTGCTACGAATCACAAACCCCCAGAGAATACGCTCCAGAAACACCAGTCATCGTTATCACACCAGCCGAGGTGTCATATTGGTCACCAATCAGTGCAAACACAGTGACGCCACAGCCGAGGAGAATTGCATCAAGTGTGTACTCACGACCCGCCAGTTATTCTCATACCTCAAACCAGCAAGAAGAAATCCCCCCCATGCCTCAAATATCGCAATCTATTCTAAATGGCCAGAAAGCTGGAAGGGAATCAGTCGGTACTATTTTCGCTGAAGACGAAGATGATGACGAGGTTCTTTCTGCTCGGCCCAAAAAGCTCAGAATAGGGACGGGTGCTATTTTGGAAGAGGATAAGCAACAGATCTTGACAAGGAAAAATCGGTCCGGATCTGATGGTAGTGAGAAGAGGCCCAAGAGCATGCTTTCACCGAATGACCGAAGGAGGTCGACTGGCTGGTGGAATACCATTCTCTCACCGTTTCTGACTCGATCCAACACGGTAAACTTCCCACAAACTGCGAGACAAGGAGAAAGCCCTACAGGTCCAGATAGCGCGACACCTGATACAAAAAGTGGCCACCGCGAGTTCCGCTTTTGGGAGAAGGCCCTTTCACCAAAATCACCTTTGTCTTCAACGACCATCGCGTCCGATGACTGGTGGGACAATCGAAATACTATTGATGGAACCCCCAAGTGGGATGGAACAGATTCAAAATTCAAGGATGGGATTTACACCTATAAAGCAGAAGAGTCATACGGGACACTTCCATTGGCGCTCTCACGCAGCACTCGGGCCGCAGCAACTGCGAATCGCCCACAGCAAAATCTGGATGTGGACCCCAACACTGGAACGTGTGAGCTTCAAAGAGATCAGTCCTTAGCAGTGCGGTCAGACCGAAGCTCGATTCTCAGTCCTGCTGATAGAGAAGCTCCGTTCATGCTCGATGACCCATCAGTAACGTCTGTGGATCGTTCAGCTGCGTCTGCAAGTACTGGCAATCAACAAACTGCTCCCCAAGGCCCAAGCGCCGCGCCGCCAGCCATGAACACCACATCCACGGCGACGCAGTCCCAAGCTAGCCAGGAGAATGCCCCAAAGGTTGTCACTCCTGCAGCTCCACCGCCATACTCTCCACCACGACCAAAATATGCGGCTGTCTACCCACCTCGCCATAGTTCGTCTGCCCAGCAACCTCAGTCTCCTGGGCCACTCTCCCCTGGCCTGCAACAAGCAATGACATCGACCGGCGCTATTGCACTGACGGATGTCCCATTGACCCCAGCTACACGAAGAGTCATCAACCTAAATTCAGGTTATCCGACTTTGCCACCGCCAAGGGTCAGCCGAGCAGTAAATCCAGTTGACCTCCAGATAGCGTCAGAAAAGGCACGTAAAATTGATGCGAAACGTCGGAGGCATGAGCAAGAAGAGGTTGTAGCCCATAAAGCTGGTGGACTCTGGCGCGGACGGGGATGCATTTCCAACAGAGGCTGCTATGGAAGAACCGGTCCAGAGGGTCGAAAACGAAGGAGATGCTGGCTTGGTGTAGTTTGTGCGCTGATTGGATTGACGATATTAATCGTCACCCTTGCGACTCAGCTGCACAGATCCACTCCAAATGTTGAGGTTCCGTCGCAGTGGGTTAACCTGACAATCTTTCCACCAATATACACCGGTGTGTCAATGGTATCGTCTACCGCAAACAATGTGGCGAACACAGGCTGCGTATACCCGAAGACTGTCTGGAGCTGTGCTCTTCCAAAAGAACTTCAGGCGTCGGTTGCCCCGAACAAGCCAGAGCAGCCAAAACTGAAGCTTCTTATCCAGTGGGATAACAGCAGTGCTGCAAACGCAACTTGGGGCGGCCCAACTGGGGCACCAGTTCGCAGGTCTGCTGGCAACGCAGTCAACGCCAGTCAGTTCTTGAAGCGTCTGGCGCTGAAGGCTAGGCAAGCAATCATGTTCTCACCCTCACCTGCAGCACCTACCATTGCAGAGCAAGGTTTCCTGGGCAATACCACGGACGGAATTGTATCCGACAACAAATCCGGGGAGCGAACACCATTCTACATCACCTTCCTCAATCCCCAAGCAGCCGCCAAAGCGTCGACAAAACTGTCAACAAGACAGGAAAAACAAAATGCGACCAGCCAATTCCCCGACTTCGGCAAATCGATCCCTGCCCCAGAGCTGAACGCCGACGGCACGGCCGCACCCGCAAACCTCCTTCCAACACCCGAGCAGCAGCCTCTCCGGCTCTTCGACCGTGGGATGCCTACCGAACACTACGGGTTCTACAGCTACTTCAACCGCTCCATCTTCCTCAAGTCAACTGCCTTGCTCAATGAAACGAACTTGGGCGATGGCGAAGTGCCTGATGATCTCGACGGCGGCTGCGCAGAATCCGAGGCACGCTTTCGGTGTACATGGTCACAGACCCGGTTTCTAGTACAGATGTGGACAAGAAAGGATGCCAGAAGCGCTGTGCTTCTCAACTCGACGACTGCATCTAGCAGCAGCAGCGGGACCGTCACCACCACGATTCTAGGGCAGGATAGCTCGGCGTTCCCATACCCAATTACTATTACGACTGACAGGCACGGTGGCGATCCGACGAAGAAGGGGGTGTACTGTTATGAGATTGATGAGAGGGAGAAGGTGGTGGCGGGGAGTGGGAAGGTTAGGCCGGAGTTTAGGGCTTTTGGAGGGACGTTGGTGAATCAGGCGCCGAATGCGTTTGATACCAGTAGTAATGCGGCGCTTGGAGGGTTTGATGGGGGGAATTCGGGGTGTAGTTGTACGTGGGCGAATTGGCATCCGGCTACTTGAGGAGGTATGTGAAATATTGGGAAATGGGATATGGGATATGGAAGAATGAGAAATATCAGGAAATGGAAATGGGAGAATGGGCAGGGGCAGGGGCGTTATATTTGGTGCATTATGGGCATGGAATATTAGATGGTTAGATGTCTTTGTACGAAAAAAATCACACGATGTTTGAATATCCATAAATGGACTGGCCTGGCTGAAGCATTGTCATTGTCCTGAGATTTCGTTTCATAAAGTTCCTCCACAATTCTGTTACCCGTATTCAACCCAGACAAACTAGTATGTCGGTATATGCACACAAGCCGCCCCGGCCAGTCTGGCAACGCCAACACCTCCCATGCATTCATTACCTACCCCCAAGAAAACTCCAGCATTAACCCACACCCCCATCGCTTGCACCTCTCCCCCAACCATCTCACCCCCCCCCCAACCTTCACTCCCACATCCCCTCTCCGCACACTTAAAGACAGACGACGTACAGGGCATCTACCCATCGTACCCCCTGTGCTTATTAATCTCATTCAACAACTCCTGCAAATCGTCATCGCTGATCTTGTCCGCCAAGCTGGGCACCAGCGTCTTCGCCTCCTCGGCCAGCTCGCAGCACAGACTCCCCAGCTGGGCGCGCTCGAACTTGGCGAGTTCGGGGTGCGCGGAGAGGAGGCGCTCGACGGCTTCGACGTTCTCTTTGCGCTTGAAGCGGGCGAAGTGGTCGAGGTATTCGAGGGTCTTGTTGAGCATCCTGTTTGGCACCTGTATTAGCCCCTGTTCCCTGTTCTTCTATCCCCTTCCCTCTCCATGTCTTGCTCAATGGGGGGTTGGAACTGTGGGTGCTGGGGGGAGGACGCACTCGCTATCATTGACACGCTTGGAATCCTTATCCATCTTGCGCTTCGCGACGAGGGCATTGATGACCAGCGCCGCTTCAGAGTGCGTCAGCGCGTCCACGTCCTGGAACTCCCCGAGCTTGAGCTCCGCGCCGGCTTCTTCGTCGCCCTGGGGAGGTGCGCGCTTGCGCATCGTTTGCGCGGCGTTGGTGGACATGGTGGGCGGGGTAGGGGTTCGTTTGGTCGGGGTGGATTGGGAGGTTGTGTTGGGGACCAGGTGAATAGTTCTTCCGTGGATGGTCTGTTGTAGTTGCTAAAGAGGGAAGAGGGGGAGTGAGGCGAAGTGGAAGCGGTGGGGAGGTGGGAGGCGTGTGGTAGAAGCAAGCGGGCGGTTGTTTCTTTATCTCGTTGTAGTGAGAGGCTGGTAGATTTAATTCCTGCAGACGGGATCCGAAATCTGGGGTATACGCGGTGGGTGGTCCCTCTATCGCCAAACGACGAGTAGCTCCCACGCCATGCGCCGATTGAGTAGGAGCACTCTATGAATGCACGAAACTAACGACATTCTAGTGATCGGATATTATATTTGTTGGAAAAGCTCGTAATAGCTATTGCGGGAGTTGAATCGTACGTTGGGAGCGTGAACGGGCTGGAGGAGTCGCTCAAACCGCTGCTATGTAAGACCCCCCTTCCCCTACCACCCATGGACAGCAGGATATCGTGGAAGTGCAATGCTTACGAGTGGGATAGGGTCGTCTTTGCCCTTTTTATTGTCAATAAGGCTGGTAGTCTGATCTACCAGCGCGATTTCGCGGAGGGGCTGTCGAAGCTCAGCACGAACGAATACATTATCCTCGCCGGCACGTTTCACAGGTACGCCTCGTCTTCCTCCCCTCAACGGTGTCGCTCCTATTCAATTCCTGGAATCTTCACAGTATATATTCCAGTAAGCTAATACCCACGCAGTGTCCACGCCCTCACCACCCGCCTACACCCCCTACAACACAACGCCCCCCGCGGCTCATTACTCGACCGTCCAGAGCCGCCCTCAGGCATCGAAGTCCTTGAGACGGAGAACTTCCGGCTACAGTGCTTTGAGACGCTGACAGGGACCAAGTTTCTGATATTCACGGAGCCGACGCAGCAGAATGTGGATTCGATCCTCAAGAAGACCTACGAGTTGTACGCGGACTACGTTATGAAGAACCCGTTTTACCAGGTCGATAACCCGGTTAGGTGCGAGGTGTTTGATCGGAAGCTGGTGGGGTATGTGAGGCCGTTGAATCATAAGTAGGGGGGTGGTGGGGTGGGAAAAGGGGTGATGATTGTTGGGGATTTTGGCGTTGAGGGCTCCTTTCAAGTCGGAAAAGGCCACACTCATGGAGGGCTCTGAGGCAGATATATAACTCCGGTGAACCCTCCAACCTATCTAATAGGACGGCCATGCCTCAATTGCCACGGTGTATGTACCAACCAACACATAATCATTCCTCGGGTCTCTACATAGCCAAGCACTTATTCCCCCCCGTCGGCTCATTTGGATTCTGTGACTTCTCGATCTGTGCAATCATCAACTCAAATGCCTTGGTGACATTCTCATTGAACTGCGCGCTAGCTTCCGTCCACGCACACGAGTATTTCTCTGCCAGCTGTTTCGCATCTTCTGCAGTGACCTGGCGCTGCTCGGGTCGCAAATCGCTCTTGTTGCCGACAATGACGACCGGTACCCAATCAGTTCCCTAATACAAATGTTAGAATGTCCGCGCTCTCTGTATGTGGCATGCTGGTAGGGACCATACCAAGTGGTTCAGAATCTTGTCACGGATGACCTGTACCATCTCGAACGACTGCATCGAAGCAACCGAATACACTAGGATATACCCATGGATCCCAATGAAGTGCTTGGAATTAAGTATACTGTATTCATCCTGGAGCAACAGTTAGAAAATATAATTCAAAAACACAATGATATCGCGTGAAACGGAGATGCTTGCTCACCTGACCAGCTGTGTCGATGATATCTGTTGCGAATTCCTGGCCCTTGTACTTGATAACTTTGCTGAAAGTATTTTCAATCGTGGGATAGTAGCTCTCCACGAAATGTCCGTCGACGAACTGGACCGTCAGGGAAGATTTGCCTGTAATGTCATCATTAGCACATGTGAGGTTTGTAAGGGAATCAACATGGCAAATAACCAACTGATCGCGAGCCCACAATGGCAATCTTCCGTTGCTTTGGTGGAGGCGCCATTTTTGATGTCCTACGTATTGATACGTAATGCTTCGTTCCTGTATATGGTTCCTTAATGAAGGTTTGTTGATGTTCTGCTTCCTCGATCGAATAATCGAATAGTAATCGTCGTGACCAAAGTTTCGCTTCGCTCAAGGTTTCGCAATATTAGGCTATAAGTACCACTACATAGTAATTTGTATGTAAAGGTACATACATAAATCATTGTAAGAAATTATCACTTCATCACTCCCATGCTCACTCCCACACTCACTCCAACGCTCACTCCCGCTCTCGCTCTCGCACTCACTCTTAGCAGCTTCTAGGTCCCGAATTGGGTCCCGATTCTCTAGAGGAATTAGGTTGCCAGCTCGAAGAAGAGCTTTTACCCTCTTTTTCCGGAGGCGCTCTTGTCATACTGACATTCGTTGCACTCAGTTTGCTATCAAACTCAAGAGCAAACTTAGAAATCTCCTCCTCAAACCTACAAGTCACTATACATATTTTGGCTTGTCACACCAACAACAAGAGCAATACTAAGCTCGGCACCCTAGTTTTCGTCACCCCCCCGTTCTCGTCACCCCACCTCGACGCATCTGTCTAGAACACGACTCTTCCTACTCAACAACAACATGTCTCAAAACGCTACCCGAGAGTTTGCCATACAATCAGCTATCAAGGATTTCGAATCTGGTGTTATTCTACCCAATCAGCTGCTGCAAAGGCGTATAATATCCCACGGACGACCCTCGCCTCGAGACTCAAAGGCTCTACAAACACACGCGTTGGCCATGAACAACAGCAGAGACTGATGCCAGGGCAAGAGGAATTTCTTGCCGATTGGATCCTCGAGGAAGACTCACGTGGATATCCTCCATCTCATGCACGAGCGCGAGAAATGGCCGCCCGCATTCTGCATATGAACAGCGAGACGGAGCCACTTGTAAGGACGCAGGGCACCGTATCACGAGAAGTGGCATATGGGAGTGCGAGTCGGATATGAGTCGGTGCAATCCTATAGGTCTACTACGAAGGATACAAAAAAGATGAAGGTGTAACCCTGTATGACTGTTCCCTTAAAATACCCGAAACCGCTCCGACTCAGCTAGCTCCCTGTTTGCCTAAGGCTTCCTTACGTTATGTGCCTAAGGCTGTCAGTCGCGACTGACCCGTAACGGCCCCGAGTCTCGATGACGCCACGTGACGGCCGTAACTACCCCGAGTAAGGAGGCATCCTTACACCACTTGGCAAGAAATAGGTGTCTAGCTTTCTACAACGGAATCCACGCGTTGCTTCTGTTATAGGCAGGAGAATTGAAGCTTCTCACATTGAGGGAACGAGTTCTGAGCAATTACGCACATTCTTCGACCACTTCCACCATATTCAAGAGCAGCGTCAAGTCCAGCCTCAGAATATTTGGAATATGGATGAGCAAGGTATTGCTCTTGGCCTTTGTACGAATACACAAGTCCTTGCAAGCTCTAAAAAGTCACGTACTTACGTGAAAGCTCCGCAGGATCGTGAGTGGGTCTCAATTATTGAGTCAATCTCAGCTATAGGTGTAATGGTGGGTGCACCAGATGTGAGAATCTAGCCACCCAAGGAAGGGATGAATTTACTAAGACAACACACTGTCTTAGAAAACAGAGCCAAAGGGTCGTAGCTTAGACTATTCCACAACGCAGCAATCAGGTGTGTGATGTAGTGAAGTGGTTCAGACAAGTTGCAACAAATGTTGAGTCTGGGAACTCAGGGGTAAGTCAGAGGTCAACACCTCACTGACTTTTCAGAAACAAGGAGTAACAAGATGAATGCTTGGAAGCTTGGAAAAGACGTGGAAGTATGTGATAGTCGATTTACTGTATTGTCTGCTTGCCCTTTCTTAAGGAAAGGGCAATCCTATTTATGCTAAAGGAGTGTAGTTCTCTCATTTTCCAAGACTTTCCATGACTTACCAGGCTTGGTAACTGTAGTCGACGTAAGAGAATCCCATAGAACCATCTCTTAGGTTCGTAGCCTATAGGAAGTAAAAGGAGGTCCAAGGTCAGAGTACCCCTATAGACAAATCATGTCATAGACAAATTATGTCATAACTTAACCAATCTTGTGGGTAACTAAAGAGCGATGACATGTAATGAATCATAGAGGTTCGTAGGAGCTTTTAGAGCTATCGTTCATGCTCCTAGGCCTCTAGTTGGTAGAGATATGTCATGTGGTAGTATGAGTGATGTCATGTAATGAATCATAGAGGGTTGTAGAGATATGCTATGTGGTAATATCGGCCCAGTAACTAAGGAGCGATGACCTGTAATGAATCATAGATGGTTGTAGCAATCGTTGAGTAGTATTGCTCTTGTTGTTGGTGTGATAAGCCAAAATATGTATAGTGACTTGTAGGTTTGAGGAGGAGATTTCCAAGTTTGCTCTTGAGTTTGATAGCAAACTGAGTGCAACGAATGTCAGTATGACATGATACCCCTCTTAAGGACGTTTGTTAGCTGTGTGCTTGCCCTTTAGCCAGGTGGCTTTCTTAGAAAGAAATTCTAGAATCAGCTTGGATGCATTTTTTAGATTTCTCTTAGGTTCCCAAGTGTTGTCACTTGTAGGATAGCCTTTCCACTTAACGAGGAAGTAGTCCTGACCTCTAAGTGTCTTTTTGTCAAGGATAGACTCTACTTCATATTCTGGTTGATCCAAAATCAGAACAGGAGGTGGAGGAGACTGAAGTGGTCTTAAGGAACTTTCTTGTGCCTTAGACAAGAGAGATGCATGGAAGACATTATGGATAGTCTAAGTAGGTGGTAATGCAAGCTCGAAAGCATTCTTGCCAATAGTCCTTGTGATCTTAAAGGGTCCAAGTCTTTTAGTATCAAGTTTGTCTGATGGTCTAGTAGTTGTGATATGTCTTCTAGACAAAAAGACTTGATCACCAACTTTGAATTGTGGTGCAACCACCCCCCTGTTAAAGGCCTGAGCCTGTTCGTCTTGTGCACGCTGTATTTGGACCTTGAGATAGTCCTGGAGGCCCTTAAGGTAGATGATTCTTTCAGTAGCAGAAGGGTTTTTGAGATTTTCAGGACAATTAAGTTCTGCCACTTCAAACCTAGGGTGATAACCATAGTTTGCATAGAAAGGTGTCTCTTTTGTGGTGTTAGAGACCGTGTTGTTGTAAGCAAATTCTGCAAGATGGAGAAGATCTGCCCAGTTGTCTTGAGCATAGTTTGTATAAATTCTTAGATATTGTTCAAGTACAGAGTTGACTCTCTCTGTCTGGCCATCTGTTTGAGGGTGATAAGCTGTAGAAAAGTGTTGTTCCATGTTTAAGAGTTTAGAGAACTCCTTAAAAAAGTTTGAAGTGAAAACTGCTCCCCTATCTGAGATCCAGTGTCCAGGAATTCCATGATATTTAAAGACCACCTTGAGGAATAGCCAGGCAAGTTCAGAAGCTGTGATAGTCTCATTGCAAGGCTCAAAGTGTGCCATTTTTGTGAGCCTTTCTACCACCACAAGGATAGAGTCATAAGGGGTAGCACCCCCTTTTGGGATAGAAGGAGGCAACTTGACTATAAAGTCAATGGATATGGAGTCCCATGGGCGTTCTGGTATAGGTAGAGGCTGCAAGAGGCCATAGGGCTTTTGCCGTGCAGGTTTGTTCAAGTTGCAAGTAGTGCAAGAAGATATATAGTCTTGAAGAGTAGTCCTTAGACTAGGCCAGTAGAACTTTCTTGTTAGAAGTTCATAAGTTTTTGCAAAGCCAAAGTGCCCTGCAGCTGGAGCATCATGGAACTGCTGTAGGAGGTGTAGCTGTAATCGTTTATCCCTTGGGACATAGATATAGCTCTTGAATAAGAGAAGTCCTTGCTGATTTTTTGAGAAATTTTGTAGTCCAACTTTCTCAAGAGAGGAGCCTTTCTTCTGGAGGTATTCCAAAGTTCTTTTGGCAAAGGGATCGTGGTTGTAAGCATCTTTGAATGCTTTAAGAAGTGTTGCTGAGGGTGTATAGTCTTTAAAGGTCTCTGGTTTCTGAGAAGAGGTAATGAGGGCAACTTGTTCTTGAGGGGATAAGTTTACCCCCAAGTCCTCTGTAGTACGAGGGTTGCTTAAAGATGCTGCTATAAGCTTTGTAGAGTCTAGCAGGGCCTTTGTATTGCTTGTTTTAGCAGAATCTTGGTAGTCATGTCTTCTTGAGAGGAGATCTGCTCTTTGATTCTTGGCCCCTGAGACATGTTTTATAACAAAGTCAAAACCTCCTAGTTGTTCAGACCACCTTGCTTGTCGTCGATTGAGCTGTTTAGTGGTTGTAAAGGTCAAGAGATTTGAATGGTCACTGTAAATAGTGATAGGATAGTTTGCCCCTTCAAGGTAGCATCTCCAATGCTTTAGAGAACATACTATGGCAAGCAGTTCCTTGTCTGTAATGGGATAGTTTTGTTCGGCTGCTGATAGCTTTCTTGAGTAAAATGCCACAGGCTGTAGCTCTTCTTGTTTGTCTTTTGGAGCTTGGTATAAGATTCCAGAAATGGCAAAATCTGAGGCATCTGTCTCAAGAGTGGCAGGTTTCAAGGGGTTAAAGTGTAGTAACATTTTCCCTTCTTTGAATTCTCCTTTAAGAGCATTGAAAGCATCTTGCTGTGTCTTATCCCAGTGATACAAAGTGTCCTTGTGAAGTAATTGAGTAAGGGGTAAAGCCAAGGATGTATATCTTGGTATAAACCTCCTGTAATAGTTGGCAAACCCAAGGAAAGACTGAACCTCTTTAATGCTGGAAGGAATAGGCCACGTTTGTACTGCTTTTGTCTTTTCAGGGTCCATCTGAATGCCTTCTGTTGAAATTCTATGTCCTAAGAAATCAACTTGAGACGTATGGAAAAGACATTTCTCAAGTTTGCAAAAGAGTTGTGCTTGAGATAGCTTCTCTAAGACTTGTCTAACATGTAGAACATGCTCTTGAGTGTCTAAAGAGTATATAAGAATGTCGTCTAAGTAGACAACAACAAAGATATCCAAGTAAGGTCTTAGAATATCATTCATGAGAGCTTGGAAAGAAGCAGGTGCATTGGCAAGCCCAAAAGGCATTACCTGGTATTCAAAATGACCA